CTTTAATGTCTTGCCATCCTTTAAAGAACACAGACATTGTGGAAGTTTCCTGGTTTGGGGTGTCTCTCTCACAGGCCATATGCACAGAAAGGTATTCACCTTCAGAAGGGATTTTTACTAAATGTGGCAAGAGAGGCAGTCACTCTGAGTTTGTGAAGGTCACTGTAGGTTTAGGAAGTTAGCACTATATCCATTCAGAGACACTTGAGTCAAGGAATAGTGTCACAGGGTCACAGGGAGGAGACTTAAGATTGGTAGGTCACCACATAGAGACTTTGTTGGCCCGGGCTCCTTTTTGAGGCCTTTTCTTGATGTAAGTGGTAATTAGGGCTAATTCCATAACTGCAAGTGAAAGTAACTAAACATGGATACTTGGAAGAAAAACGAAAACAGATATTCTAGAAAGGTCTGGAGTAGCTCCCAGGATTAAGAGAAAAGGCCAAAGACCAGGCAGTAGGGATGCATGTGGCTCTGGGAATGAATGGTTGGCCTCCTAGCTGGAGTGGATGGGGGACCTCAGGGTCAGCTCATCAGATGTGCCCTGCCTTTCTTGGCTAGCAAGAAATGTGTCCCTTTACAATGTGTGCCTTTCCCCTGGCAGGTAACTCTGATGTTTCACTGAAGCTGACTTTCATCCTTAGGAGTGACTCCCGAGGGACAGCTAGGTGCCCCTAACGCAACAAAAGGTGAGTCTTGCCGGGTTTCAAAAGCCTCGGGTGTTCCATACAGAAAAGGATAAACTTCTTCCTTCTTTGTGACATTTAGTATGTCAAGTAATTATAACAACCCTATAATTCTAGGAAAGTGCATCAACCAAGGCACAGGACAAGACAGATTTTATTAATTATTATGTTAAAGAACCATACCACGGGATCACTATTTTGTGGCCATTCCAGGCCACAGTGAGCATATGTCAAACTTACAAAAAAAGCCCACAACAATGACTGTGAGCCCCGCGCAGACACCTAGTTCAAATTCAGCAGCCATTGGAGGATCCACTCTCTGTAGGATGTTCTGCCACATGCTGACTATTCCAGTCATAGGAGACAAGTTTGTGAGACAGAGTGTTAATTCCAGATCAATTTTCAAAATGTGTCAGTAGACAAGTAAGCAAAAAGCAAAGCTCTCCTGAGATTTCAATGTGTAGACACAAATCCACAGGGGCTCTCAAGTTCCAACTTATTGTGTTAAATAACTATTGCAGGCATATTATGTATGAGAAATCTGTGTGACATTAAAGTTAATAATAGCAATATAAAGAATTTTTTTCTCTTAGAATTCTAAGTTTGTACTATTTGCCAAATGAAGCAAGAAAAAAGTTGTTTACAAGTAGTCTCAAATAAATATTCAGATAAATGCTAATTGCAAAAAAAAAAGAATATTGGTGAATTTAGTACTTTTTTATGATAAAAGATTGGTGAAGTTAGACAAACCTGACCTCTAAAATCAGCTCTGCCGATCTGTGTGATCTTGGATAAATTAACTAGTTTCCCTCTTCATCTAAAATACGAAAATGGTAAAACCTACTTTGCTGGATTATGAAGATTATTTGCAATGCCTGCAAGTCATCAAGTGCTGGGTTTTAAGCTCAGGAGGTTCCCACTAAATGGTGACTCACACAGTTACTGGCCCAGATAGACTCAAGCTGTAAGCTGGACATCAAAATTTTGCTACTTTGGAACCACCATAGGGCTATTTTTTTATTATTGGTTGTTTTTCATTTTGTAATAACTTGACTCTCAGGAAAATTAGTATCATTCTGTTTAACTGCAAGACATTCAGCTTGATGGGCCACTAAGGACCTGTAAAGCACTGTGGTTTCTCTCAGCCCAGAAATGAATGGAAGGACAGCTGGTTCTAAATTTTAAAGGCTGTATGAGAGGATAATTTTTTTGAGCCTTCTTCAAGTGTGATACTTGAAATGCGCGGTTAAGTATGTCTATAATTTTCTTACATGTCATTTTTCAGTGTTGTAAAAGTTTACAAAATACGCTCCCAAATTGAAAAGAAATAATAGAAACATAGGTTTTGGTTTGGAGGAGACCAAAGTACTCTTATTGTTTTTAATGCAAGCCGTCAACAAATCTGTCACATCAACATGTCTGTCTCCTGGTTCTTCATATATGTGCTGTTTATTCATCATGACAGTGATGTGCATTTCTGGGAAAATACTGAGATTGGTTCTGAATACAATAAAGGCTCATTAAGAACACATTCACTCTTTCTCTCCCCTGCCACGGACTTAAATATTCATATTAAAGCTAAAATAAATTCACACCAAAAAATAGAAATCTAAAATTAAATATTTAATTAGAACTCTGACTTGCTTTAAAGATCGGTGGCATTGCACAGGCTATATTACACTCTCTTTATAATTTTTTTTTGACAAAAAAGATACTGTTCATTTTAACAGGCCACTTTAATATTAATACATGTGTAATAGGATTGGAACAGAAAATCAGCTAGAGATGGTACATTTTACATTATTGGGAAAATTACAGTTCTGTATTGTAAAAACATTTATTTTTTAACAATGTACCTACATTAATCAAAAATTACAGCATATTTAATAATTTTACAAATTCTTCATAAAAAATATATCTCTGTACAAAAAGATCTTTTGCACCTACATCGTGACAGCAGCGTGTGTGGGACGGGAGGGGGGGGCGGCGATGACGATGGGTTTTCCTGATCATAATGCCAGCGTTCTTTTTTCCCCTTTTTTTATAATAGCTTTTTGTTGTTGTTGTTTACAAAATATTTTACAGAAGAAAAAAATTATTGCAGCTAGCCTGAAAAAAGGCAAGATGTGTGTGTGTGTGTGTGTGTGTGTGTGTGTGTGTGTGTGTGTGTGTGTGTGAAACAAGCAGCAGTTTTAAACAGCTTTGAAGCACATGTCCCGTGAGCGTGTGGTCGCTTCCCCCACGCGTGTTCTGGTGCCTTCAGGGAAGAGTCTTCCAAATCTAACTCAGCAATCCCCGTTCCTGACTGCCCTGGGAGGTCCTCCAACATCTTGTGGAGGCTTGAGTGAATACTGCACACAACCTAGGAAGAAATTAGGCAGAATTCTCACAAGAGAATCTCATTGATTTTTTTTTCCTTTTAAATAACATGCTTCAAACTGGCAACCATAGGACAGTTTGACTTTGCACACAAAGAAAAATAATATATAATCTGATATGTAGTTTCTTGTATGTATGTGCGTCCTGTCATTTCAGGACCTCATAACAGCATTGACCAGCAAACGGGTCAGGGATGTGTGAACAGAGACATTAGTTCAGACTCTGAAGTCAGCATTTTGCACCTAGTTTGAATGACTCAAACTTAGATATGTACAATATATATATACCTAATATGTATAGTAACCCTGTTCTCCCTTACACATGATGAACCCCATGCCTCCCGACACATTCACTTTGTTTCATTTGATTCGTGTGTTAGGAATGCAACTCTTGCCAACCCATCTAGTCTACTAGAAACAGCAATGGAAGGATTCCCCTTGGCAAAGAAGATCTCCAAGGGTGTTGTCAGGCTGGCCAGGGAAGAATGTGCAGAAAATTCAACACAATAATACAGAATCCAGCAGTACAGAACTGACAAGACAGAGGACCAACCAGAGGAGGTCCCTAACAGTAGAGACCCTGCCAACGAGGAACCCAACCATAGGGCTGAGTGAAGAGGGACACGAAAATGCTCATATCAAAAGCATGCCCAATTATCAGCCAGACGGGTTCTCCTTTTCGCTTTTGAAATCCCACATTTAAACACTCAGTAGACAAACAAGCAGCTCAGTCTTAAAGCTAGGTGTGAATATGTTCACTACAACGAAGCAAAGGCCAATTGGAACATTCTGACATTTCTACTGTTGATGCCAATCTGGACTGTGAGAGAGGGGAAGTTTTCAACATGTGGAATATGTATTTAAACATCAAATAATAAAATAAGCATCATCTTTTCAAAAATATTTTTATCAAACAAGTAGGAGTAAAAATAAACATGATCTTCACTTTGAATTTGTTACATAAACATTCTCATGGTCATATCTACTACTTCATGTTTTGATTTTATACACGTTGGGGATCATACCTACTTTATTTACCATAACTTGTCATCTATGTGTAGTAAAATTTAAAATTTAATCATCACTGAAATGAACTTTCCATCTGGAATTATAAAGCATGAAACAAAAGATAAACTAATATATAAAATGTATCATTGTGAGAGGAGAGTGTGTGTTATTTTTCCTTACCTTCAAAAGAACAATTACTATTTTGATGCTGAACAAGTTTCACTGAGTTCAAGGTGCTGTTGTGGTGTCCTGTCTTTCAAGGCAATATCAGAGAGTGATGGCACAATAAAAGAAAAAAAAATGCAAAGGGAAGACTGCATTGCGAGCTAAAACCCACAAATACAAGAACTATCTAAAATAAATTACTATTCACATTTTTACATGGCAAATGGGAATTTCTGCAAACCCCCTGCTATTAAGTGGCATAATATAGACAATAATTAGATGATAAGGGAACTAAAGAAAGAAAACGTGGGGGAATAAAAAGGCCTCTCTTCTTTCCTTATTGGACCTCTTCAATAAATTCAACACATAAATGTAGCTAATAGAAGAAATCAGAAAATAAATCTTTTCAGTACTAAATTTTCTTTTAAAATCTGTGCCATATCTGGGGAATTTTTTTCCTTAACACTCTAACTGAGGGTGGGATGTTTTGCTTGACAATATGAAAGGATGCTTATATACAATGGGTAGTGTGTATAAACCCTGTGTAAATAGTTTTTTTTTTAAATCAGAATCTTACTCAGTCATTCATAACACACTAGTGCAAAAAATTGTGCATCAAAAATTCTGTGATAGAACAGCTGACTGGGAAATTTGCAAATGTTTCTAGAGATGGACACACAGGAAAGCCATGGGGTCCTCAAAGCCTGTCAGGTCTTGGAAGGACAGAGTGAAGCGTTTGTAGGTGTGTGCATCTATCAGAAAGGTGTCTTTTTCAAGAAAGCTTTTTAAATTTTTTTTTTCAGAGTATTCATGTTCATGGGGTTTTAAAAAAAAAACAAAACCAAAATGCACATATTGTGGTGCTACCATTTGTCACCGCACCGAAGGATGTATCCACGTGCCCAGAAGATTGCATTGAAAGGCATCCCAGCAACACAGAAATAGAGAGTCTGAGGCATTGCGTACGGCGTCGGTGAGACTCGGCAGTCTTCCTGGAGTGTGCCTTGATTCCAAGCAGATGCAGCCAGACGTTTCTAATCCACTTTTGAAATGGAGATGCATTTGTAGTTTGACCCTCAGAAGACCCTGGCACATTTGAGTAGAAATCCCCGCTGTACGTTTAAGGTCAGTAGACGACGTTCAAGGTCACTGCAGCAAAGCAAGAGTTGAAGGGAGAGTGGTATATGGCACCAAAGGAATTACTGCTTGTCCATCAGAGGTATGGCTATGAATCGGTCCTGTGGGGACGCTGAGGGCTATACCACTGTACAGACTGTGTTCAGAGTCGTGTCAAACCGCACAGCCTTGGCCTCTGTGGGTTTTAAGTTTGTATCATACATGGGGTTTTCAAAGGATGCCTGTCCATTGCTGTTTTCGTGTCCAGCATAGCCATTGTATTGAACTTTTGGTCTCGTTCTAAAAGGAAAAGAGAAAGCAAACAATGAAGCTCTGGTTGCCACAAAGGAGATGTAGGGCTGGAGCTGAATGTGACATGATTCCTGCAGAGCACAGAGTCACCCAGATACGATGGTGCAAGGAGGAGGGATGGCAGGGCGGCACTACCGTTCAGGGTTTGTGTTCTGCACTTGGTGGTTGGGGTTACAGAGAAGGTTTAAAAAACTTTAGCAAGGTGGAAATGATGGCTCTTGCCTATAATCCTAGCACTTTGGGAGGCCAAGATGGGAGGATTGCTTGAGCCCAGGAGTTGGAGACCAGCCTGAGCAACATAGTGAGACCCTGTCTCTAAAAAAGAAAAAAAAAAAAATATTCAGGATCAAAGAATGATCGACGCTTCCTACAAATGCTCCTGGAACATTGGCAAGATCTCAAACGCTGGAGCAAGATTTTAGTTTGAACATCTATTGACCACAAATAAGTTATATGGCCTTGGTTAAGTCATTCAACTTCCTGATACTCTGCAAAATAAGTCGGCTAAGCATGACACCTGCCCTCTAGAACTGCTAAAGTTAAACCAAGATACAATTATAAGGTTTTAGTTCACAGTCATTATTAACAGTCACTAAATGTTGGCTATTTTTTGTTCTGTTTCTGGTGAGTTAAAAGAATACATTTATAGAAAATGAACTATTTTCATTATTAAACTATTATTTACATTTTCTGGTTAAATAGAAACCCCTATCATGCAATCCATGATTAGAGAATTACAGGATTTTTAGGTTGAAAAGACCTAAACATATCTGGTCTGGCTCTTTATTTCTTTTCCTATCCCAGAAGAAATTACATAAGAAAAATAAACCAGCAAAAACAGAACTTCAATGTCAATCAACACTCTAGCAAAAACATCATTTGCTATTGGATGTAAAGAAATTTCTGCCTTAGTGACATGCTAGATTTTCTGAAGTTGCCATATGCTCATTAAGGAAAAAAAAGCAGTTCAAAGTTTGTGGCCTTCAAGAAAACAGCAGGACAGCTGTCTTGAACTATCCTTGGAGTCAGAGAGGTCTATGGCACGAACTTGGAAAATGCTCCAGCAGCAAAAGTTAACAAACAAATGCAGTCCCTCATTAATGGAGTGAGAACCTGGTCATCCAGATCTCAAATCACCACAGTTCTCTCATTGATAGGGAGGTGCTGGACCACAGGGATTAGGTGCAGCCCGACCCTAAGGACGGGACCGTGAGCAACCGACCCACTGGGAGGGCTGCAGGAGGCCTCAGGATCTGAATGAGCAGGCAAAGTCCAGTATTTCAGTCAACAAAAGAGACCAGAAAGGAACAGAAACGAGGTTTTATCTGGAGAAATACAAAGATGACTGTTAAGAAATGCTTGTATCTATAGGGGTTGAGAAGCCAATGAAGACCACGCCGGGGCAAGAACATGGAAGAAAATGACTTGATGAGGTGTAAGCCTGGGGACCCTTGCTTCTGCAGAAATTCCTACATTTGCATGACTCAGAAGCAGAGAACAAAAAGACCCTGCAGATTTAAAGGGTCTCAGCAGCCTCAAGCAATCCTCTTGAGAGCCCTGAGGTAGGATAGCTTCCTGCATTTTCTAGACATAGTGCAGTCTCTTGAATTTGGAGTCACTTGAGGAAGGGAAGGAGCCTGGTCATGATTATGTTACATTCACGTCAGCCCAGAGGAGGTATCAGATTCTTATAAAAATAAGTGAAATCTCCCTTATATCTGGTTTTGTAGACTGAGATTTTTCTCATAGCATTACCTTTACAGAGACACCTTACTACTGAGTGTAGATAGGACCATTTCTAAAGTTTAAAGATTGAAGCTGGGATGTACATTAAATATTATCCCATGATGCAACATTGTCCTATAACTTGTGTGTGTGTGTATGCATATATATTTATATACATAATCAGAAGTCATATTAAGTTTATGTGTAAATATATATAATTGTGTGTGTGTTTATCTTTAAAAACAAAACAGGTGATTACAAGACTCATATAGGTTGCATCTTTGGAGGTACACCCTGGCAAGGCCCTCTGATGCAGGTATGTCATCCCACTCCAGGTATGTTAAGCTGGGACAAGACTATCAGAGGCCATAGTGCTGACTGGAGAAATGTCAAAAGTTGGGGCAAAACAACTTTAGTAGACTAAACCCTTTCCTTGGGGTTAATGTGGATGCCAAAAACACAAAATAAATTTGTAGAAATTATAAACTCCTACGGTGTGGGTCTCTGTAAAGAAATTATGAATAGGGACCCCCCCAAAATTGGAGTTACTTTTGGAGAGCGAACCCATATAACACACGTTTTCCCCACTAGTTAAGTGTACTAGGAGCCCACTGACATCAGTGAGCTAGCATCGTTGTGAGGGGCTGCATTTGGTTTCTGGTTTTTTTTTTTTTTTGAAGATTCTTTCAATGTGTTTGCCCATTTTATGATGGGTGATGTACAAGTGCACCTGCCAGCACTGTGCTGAATGTTCAGCAGTTTATGATTAAAAAAAAAACCAGCATGACCCCACTCTCCCTACTCACCTGATCTTACCCTGAGTGACTTTCTTTGTTTCCCCAGATGAAAAAAAAGTCCTCACAGGGAAACGTTCTGCCAACGTGGAGGAGGTGAAACAAAAAATGGCAGAAGCACTAAAAGTTATCGAAATTGATGAGTTCAAAAACTGTTTTGAGCAAGGGAAAAAGAGTCTCAATAGGTGTATTGCATCAAACAGAGAGTACTTTGAAGGTGATTGAAGTTTAAACATGTAAGAATAAATACACACTTTTTAATACATAAATTCTGTTTTTTGGGGTCCCCCTCAGACATTACTTAGAGGAACCTTTGAAATAAGATTTTTTTTTGAAAATTCATACTCCTTTAAGAAGAGAAGCACCTCTAATCATAGCATTTTATTGGCTAAAGTGGTGGCATATCCAATAAAATGTTAGGCTGGCCCTGAGCAGAAATTTGAGAATAAGGCACATCAGACCTGTGTGCACAGAATGTTTTCTCTTCAAAAAATATATTAAACAAATGTGCCAACCTTTCATTTTGCAAATACCACTGGAGATTTCTTTCATTGGGTTATATTTTTAAACTAAGAGCATTTTCAGCCATAGGAAAGTGGAGACATTCATGCAGGCAGCTAATGCAAAATAACTTTGAAGCAACATTCCTACTATTTGCATTTCAAAAACAAATATGAGAAAGCACATATTTAAAAGGGCTACTTCATGAGTTATTAAAAAGTGACATTCTCACATCAGTATTTGTTTTTATATTAACCAAAGTTAAATGAAAATATTTTTATTATATAAATAAATATTCGACACATTTAACATACTTTAATCTTAAGTCAAGAAATTATAGTTTATTTTACAATTATTTGTAGGTATTGCTACTATTTCAAGTAGTGTTTTAGAGTAGTTTGACTTTGCCAATTTCCTCCAGGCATAAAGAGACAAAATGAACAAGGGTTTTATAATTCCTCCAAATTATTATTGATATTATCATTATTTGGTATCCACATTGGCCCTAAAGAAAGGATCTAGTTCCCAGAGATTGCTTTTCCCTCAGTTTTGACACTTTCCAGTTAGTAGGGCTTTGTAAATTATTCAAATATTCAGAACACTTTTTTTAAGGAGACAGAACAACTACGATTGCTTAGTGTATATAAAGAGAGAATTTTTTACTTATTGAAGGAAGGAGTCAATGAAACATTTATCAGTCATAGATTTACAGAGTTGAAAGCAGCCATACAGAACATTCTGTTCAACCTTCAGCTGGGAGGTTGAAATACCATCTCAATGTTATGATGGAAAGCCTGAAGGTAAAAATAGAATCCTTTATTTCGTCTTTCAGTGGATCACGGGCACAAAGCACGTTATTTCTTAACCCAGTCATTTATTATTTTATGGCTTAGGTGTGTCTTGCAGAAAAAGTACGACAAATAACAAAAGACGTCAAAAGTCTTAACATATAGGCATCCTTAATGTGAGAGAATAGCAATATAAAATACTTGTGGATGTGAATGTGAAAACATGCACACTGCTTAAACCAATACTTTATGCTAGCAACATTTCAAACAAATGGTTCTTTTACAGTACCTGTGTTTGTAGAGGTAAAATGCAAACCCTGATAAAATTAGCGCAAAGAATGGAACCAGAATGGCAGCCGCCACTGAGCCACTGCTGGTGCCATGGTAATGATTTGAGGCATCTTGATCCGAGCTTAAAGGATCTGAAAGATAAAAGGAAAATTTAATTTGCAGCTACTGTGCAATATTTAAGCAAATAAACCTGTGTGATAAATACTATAAATGAATATGAAGTGAACTCTACAAGACTAAGGACAAGTTGCAGTTTCACAACAACAGATGTTCTTTTCTACAGGTTTTAATAGTAATTTTAATGACCAATATACAAAAAACTGTTTCCTACTAACATTTTATAATACTATGAAAGAGTCTCACATTTGAAATATGAGAAATGCAAAAGGGCCACTATAAACTTGACTTCTGTTTTTGCATAAAAACTAACTGAAAGCATTCTTGTATTTGCTGTTTTCTCCTGTCCTGAAGCCAGACTAATAAAACCTAACTCATTGAAATTTTGTACATTTCCTGTTCTCTATATAAATGGCATTGTAGCCTTCAAATGTGAATATGTGGTGTAATCTGCTTTTATTTTAGAGAGACTGTGAAATTCATTACAGAGTTCAGAAATGCTTAAAAAAAAAGAATACAGCTCAATATCATAATGTAAGTTGACACAAAGAGTGCTAAAACATGATTTTTATTCATTAGAGAGAAAAGCAAATATAAATATCTCAAGCATCATGCAAATGATATGATCACTAACTCTACAATTCATATCTATGGAGTCTCACATATATGCATGGCACTGAGAAAGAAGCCAACACTCAACGTTCAAATCAGTAGAGCTTTATTAAGTGACTATTGGCAAAGAAGAGAAAAGGTTCTTGAAGAGTTTACTTACAAAATATGACTTTGAAAATGTGTTTGGCCTAACTGCATGAGTCACTTAATGCAGGTGTCTAATAAATTATGACTGGAATCATCTGAATATGGCAGAATTGTTGAGAAGAAGTTGATCTACTTTTTAGAAGTATATTTCTAGAATTTGTGGAACATCACTTTGAGAGAAAAGTCATATTTAATTTATTTTTATTACTCATCAATGTATAAAACAATCATATACTAAAACTCTAAATCATTGATGTAGCACATTTCTTGAATTTTCCTTTTTAATATCTAATAAACACATTTTAATGGAGCTTCTATTATTTTACAAATGAATAGGATTTCATTTTATTTTAAGTGTGGGGTACAATTCAGGGTTAGGCATACAAATGGTCATTGTATAGGTAAAGTTTGGGCCTCACTTTGGTCTTCACTTCACTTGGTTTGAGATTAGGTACCCTTATTGATGAAGTGTGCTCCCCTCTTCCTCTGGCAGTTTTCCACTACTGCCTTCTTGAATTTTCATGTAAAAACTTTCAAATGATATTATTTGCCATTTACTTCAGAAGATGCATGATTATTACTACATCTTAAGGCCTTAATAGGAACACGCTCTTTAATGGATGTTGGTTTTTTGTAACTTAACCGTATATTTTTTATATTCCTCCATACCATCATGCAAAAAAAGTGCCAGGGACTTGCTCTCTCTAATCTGAGCATCCAGGTCACAGGCATGTGTGATGAGCTAAGCTAATCAGATGCTCCCACCCTGGGCACTGGCTTCTGAGTGAGTGTTGCAAAGCATCCTCAGATGGTTTAGAATTTGTTCTGGGGGCATAGAAGTTCTACAGCCTTGAGGACATCAAACCTCCCTTGAGGGTAGTCCCAGCAGCAGCGGTTGTGGCTGCAGTAACATCTGGAGACCAAGAGTGGCACTGTCAGGGAGCAGCAGTACATAACTCAAGTGGTACCTACTTCATAGGTTTGTTGGGAGAATTAAAGTGAGTTAGCACATATCTCAAGTGTATATCACAATGCCAGGTACATAGTGAATGTTCACACGGACTCATATTCACTGGAATGTATGGTTCATGAACCCAGCATATATATATATATATATATATATATATATATATATTTTTTTTTTTATTAGTAAGTTTCTTCTGGAATCCCCAGAACCTGCAGTAGAACCCACAACACAGTATGCACTCAATATATACTTGTGGAGTGGAAAAAAAAAAGTTGTTTTAAATAGCATGTTAGCACCCAAATACTTTTAGGTTTTCATTAAGTTGTCATAATTCATTTTTCAGGTTTCTCTAATTTTTTGAGTCTCTTCGCCTCATTTTAATAAATTTATATTCTACTTAAATTAGCCACAGTCATCTTCTGTTATCTACAAACCAAACTATGTACTTTTGTCTTTAATACATATCACAATTCTATCTGTCAAATTCATGCCATAAGACACTTCACATCATAACATAGAACAATACAAGAGAAGATTTTTATAAATTATACAGTCGCACTTACTTTGACATTATTATGCTGCATGGTGGTCCTGGTTACTTTCAATTATTTACCCTTGCTTTTAGTAATTTGAAGGTTAACATATGCACATAGTGGTAATTAAAGTGGCATAAAAGGATATGAAAACAAATAATATTAAAAAATGAAAAAAAAATATCTTTCATCTCTACATGCCAGTCTTTCTCTTTACAGTTAACAGATTTTTTTTAGGGTCCTTCTAGTAATGTGCATACATAAGATTGCTTGCTTTTGATTATTTCCTAAACATTGGAATAGTACTTACATGCTTTGCAGGTAGCTTTTTAACCTCAACTGTACATTTTTGAGGCTCTTCTATCGGCACATATGAATCAGATTTAATTTTTTAAGGTGTGTAGTCACCTATTTATTGGATATACCACATTTATTTAGCCAATCTAGTGGCTAAACAAAATGTATTTAGGCCATTTTCAGTCTTTTTCTACAATACTGCAATAAAATATTTTGTCTATACCTACACATTAGTGAGAATTTCAATTATACAAGGCAAGTTCTAAGCAGCTGCATTATTGCCAAACAGAATTTGTACTTCTTAGTGATGCTGTGATGTAGTGTTCCTATTTCATTCCAGACATTATTCTAGGAGGACCATGACAAAAATCCCTGAACTACGGTATATGAATTGTCCAACTGTACCCTCCTTCCCTCCCCTCTCCCTTTCCCCCCACTCCCTCTCCTATGACATTTTCCATCCTTCTCTGTATTACTGTTACTACTAAAACTGCTGCTACTATTGTTACTGCTCTGATAAGTCAAACATAATACTTAGGGGTTTTTTTAAAAATGTTACTATGTTATTCAGTTTTCTAAAGAACATAAAGAAAATGCACATACAGTTATGTGTTGTCTATTGGCCGGAATGTGTTAGGCAATTTATCATTGTGCAAATACCACAAGGTGTACTCACACAATCCTAAAGGGTATAGCCTATTGTTCCCATATCAGTAATGTATTGTTTTACCATATTATCATAGCAACAGAGTTATGAGGGGACAGGAATTTTTCAGCTTCCTTACAATCGTATGGACCACCATTGTCTATGCTGTCTGTTATTGACTGAAACATATTTTGGGGGACACTTCTATGCTTTACTACTCATCCACTTAAGATGCACATGCAATCCAAAACTTTTTTCAGCATATTCATAAGGGGTGCAATGGCCACTACTGTCTAACCAGGGGCATTTTACTACCCCTTCACAACATTTCTCATCCTTCTTCATCCCAAACTTTACCCCTAGGTATCACCAGTTAACTTTCTGTCTCTATAGATTTGCCTGTTCTGGACATTTCATATAACCAGAATCACACAATTTGTGGTCTCTTGTGTTTGACTTTTTTCAGTCTGCAGGATGCTTTCAAGTTTTATCCCTATTGGTACATAGATCCATACTGTATTCCTTTTTAAAGGTGACAAATATTCCATTGTATGGATATTCATTAGTTGATGGACATTTGAGTTGCTTTCACCTTTAGGTATAATAAATGCTGCTGTAATAAGCATTCACGTACAAGTGTTATGTAAACATATGAATGATTGTACACGATTCCTATGTGGCTGTTTTTATGGCTGTTACTTTGTTTTCAATTCTTTTGACTATACATGCAGAAGCAAAATTGCTGGATCTCATGGTAACTCTATAACTATTTGTTGAACTGCTAGATTGTTTTCCACAGCAGCTGTACCATTTCACATTTCAAAGTAAAGTATGAGAATCCAATTTCTCTGTATCCTTGCCACCATTTCTGATCTGACTTTAAAAAAAAATTTAATCAAAGCTATCCTGGGGGATGTGAAATGGCATGTCAGTGTGGTTTTGGTATGCATGACCCTAATGACAATTATGTTTGACATCTTTTCATGGACTCATTGCCATTATTGTCTTTGGAGAAATATCTATTCAAATCCATTGCCAATTTTTTAGATTATTTGCCTCTGTTTTATTGAGCCTTAAGGGTTTTTTTTTTCTTTTTCAAAAATATATTCTAAATATAAGCCACTTATCAGGTACGTGGTTTTCACCTATTTTCTCTCATTCTGTGCCTGTATGTGGGTGAAGAGACAATTCAATTTTAATAGGAAACCAAATTATTGTTGAGTTTTTCTTTCTTTCTTTCTTTCTTTCTTTCTTTCTTTCTCTCTCTCTCTCTCTCTCTCTCTCTCTCTCTCTCCTCTCTCTCTCTCTCTCCTTTCTTCCTTCCTTCCTTCCTTCCTTCCTTCCTTTCTTTCTGAGTTGGAGTTTCACTCTGTTGCCCAGGTTGAAGTGCAGTGGCACACTCACGGTCACCCCAGCGTCAACCTGGTGGGCTCTGGCTATCCTTCTGCCTCAGACTTCCAAGTAACCAAAACTACAGGAGTGCACTAGCATGCCTGGCTAATCTTTCTAAAATTTATTGTAGAGATGAGGTCTCGCCACGTTGCCCTGGCTAGTCTCGAACCCACAGGCTCAGGCAAGCCACTCGCCTTGGCCTCCCAAAATGCTGGGATTATAGCCTGAGTCACTGAGCCTGGCCTGTTGTTGAGTTTCTTATGCAAGTTTTTGTATTAGAGTTGTCTTTCAAGTTAGCTTGATTGTAGTATTTGTTTAATGCTAAACTTTTTTTTTTTTTTTGGCTTATCTACTGACTGAAGACAATTAGGTTATTTTTATTCATAAAAGTAAATTTTACCCATCACTCTTAAATGGATAGTTGTTGTTGCAGTGTTACTTAAACCTAGTTTTCTAATTAGTTGCATGAGAAACGTACATGGGATTCAAATAATATTGTGAAGCACATTGTTTTTTTCCTGACAATAACTCGTCATCACATGAGAGTAAAGATTACTTGTTAAAGAAAGCTATTATTTTGTTAGATTAAAAAGTGGGGTAATACAAATAAAATTTGTGATAGCAAACTGGTAGTTTATGTCAGGTTCATTGGATGAGTAAACTTAGACATCTACACAGTATCTTGTACAGCTCACTAGAGTATTCTTAAGCAAAATTACTAGAGCGTGTGCTTCAGGGAAAAGGAGGACAAATAACTACAGGGTTTGGCTTGGAGCAAGAGAAAGAACATTACCCGTCATTAGTGTTGGTCTAATGCGTTTGTTCTATTTCATTATCTCAAAATATAACTAAATATACAATATTACCTCAGTCACTGCTGACATAATTTAAGGCTCTTCTATTTAATAGTACTAGTTTTGGAATAATGGGAATTAAGAATTTTATGATTAATTGTCCTTTTCGATGAAGGTTCTTTTTCTATTTTTAAGCATGTTAATATGCAGGTTAGCATACAGTTCTTTTAGAATCTCTCAGGATCTTGATAAAGTTCATTTGAAATAAGTTCATCAGTGATGATCATCGCAAAACTTTACACCAATGTTTCTCTGAAAGGAGGGTCTGGTATTAAAGCCTATATGATAACATTCTTCTATATAAAATTAATATGTTCATAGTATTCTACAAGTATGAGAAATATAGGGCAAATCTCATTACAAAAATGCATTTTTCTTTTCAATGTTGGTAGTGACAAGTATAATGATATCTGTGTTAAAAGACCTTTACTGTGCATACAGCAATCTTTTATGTGGCCTCCTAATCTCAAAACAACCCTGGGAATTTCTGTGCTGGACTTTCAGATGAAAACAACAGGCTCAGAAATATTGTAATTCAACCTTGCTTATAAAAATAGCAAGCAGACCAGGTAACATTCAAATCCAGTGATTGTTTCCATATATGTTCTTTCTCTATTAAAAGATAAAAATCAAATAGTAGAGAAGGTTCTAAAGAAGGAAGATGAACCTACCCATCTGTTCATTTCTGTCATTTTTTCATAAAAAAGTTATGAATATCAATGTGTAGTCTCATTTCAGTATAAAATATACTGAATATTATTGTTTCTTATTTAATGTAATTCATTGCATAAAATCATTCCTTAAGGCAATTCCCTATATGATAAATGTGTAATATTTAGAGACTATTTCTTACTTCGACTGTTAAAAATAGTCCTATTTTGGACCATCTTAAACATACAGAGGACAATTCCCAAACTTGTCTGATTAAAAATTCTAGAGAGAGAACTGTTGGATGAAAGAGTTTGTATTACTAAATTGTACATATAGACACATACATTCACCGAATTAAACTCCTTGAGTGTTTATTTCTACTATTAACCCAAATTGTTTTTTATAACTTTGCCATTTGGATAGCTAAACATGATCTGTCTTTATTACTATATAGAGATGCATATTTTTCAGATCTTTTCATAGATTTGTTGGACACATTTATTCACACTCACTTTGTATTACTTTTAAAAACACTTAGTTTACTTAGGGTAATATAACTTGCTCATTCTTTGAGTATTATCTTTGTTTTTCTCCCTCTTATTTTTTAAATAAATTTTGATATAATGAGACTATTGATTTCATGTCTGACATACTCTGCATTATTTTCAGTTTTATCTTTGTCTATTTCACTATTCAAAATAATTTTTTACTCAGTGGTAAACTACATTAGTCTCTTCCACTACTTTTGTCCACATTACTTTTGGAGCTACATCTCATCCATTCCTTCTCAGCACAGACATTTGAAGGTCAAGGTGATATTTGCTTTAAAAATATCATGTGTGATTTACCTTGCCTTTCTAGCTTGAATTTTCCAAAGTCTTTTCCATGTATTTCACCTTGAAAAGTAAATCCCCCTCTTTCAAGTCCTGATGATACCTGATAGGAAAAAAAATATTAAAATAGATTAATAACGATCTCTTCTTTTACCATAACATTACTGCTATATTTAGTCATTACAGGTTAAATATTTTATTTTTGCCACTTCTTTTAGTGACTCAGATATGTTTTAAAAATGATAACTCAATACAGAGGTGAACTTCAACTGACCTATATAAATGCTCCCTCTTATTTTGGTCTGTAAGTGATCGTAAATTTTACAGTATACTCATATGCTAACTGTCTTTCCTACAGGGGGACAAACAGATGAATTAACATATAACATATATGATGTAAAACTCACTTTGTATCACAGCTATTGACTGGTACACATCATGTGAGGCTGTATAACCTTCAGTTATGTTGTGAATTAGAACTAAAACAAGGGTTAACTTGCAAAGAAGGATATTAAAGGAAACATCATAAATCTCTCTATTCATCTGGGAATGACTTCTGAGAACTTTCAGCGAAGTTACTAAGCAGTCTTAGAAAACATTTGGTCACACCATTCTTCCTGTGGAATGTGACATTAGCAGCACAGAATCTAAATGTAGCGTCTTGTTTTGTCCTCAACAATGGCAGCTCTTCACTGTCAGGCAACTCATTTCTCATTTCAGAGTCCTGGTTCCTTCCATGATAAAATGAAGGGGTAAAATGGCCATGCTGTCAGGAAGAGAGCCTACTGAGTTTCCAAGGGGTAGACACAAGATTGCCCCACTCACAAGTCCTTAGATCTCGGCCCTCATCACTGTGCAAAGAGATGATGAGAAAGCCCAAGCTTTGTCAAAAACTTAACATGAGTACTTACGTAACCATCTAGTCCCCAGTTGTCATTTTCAAACTTGCTTACAAAGATGTCTACTGGACCTTTCATCTGAAAAACTTTCAGAAGTAAGTGAGCCTCCTCCTTCTTGTAAACTCCTGTGGAAAGATCAGTGGGTCAGTCTTACTGTGTAGGAATTTACAAGAGTTAGTAATACAGCCCTTTAATCCATTAGGTTTGGAACATAGTACAGAGATAATAATATCATAGATAATAGAAAATTCAAATAAAATTTATATTTTTATTTGTAAATTTTAGCCTCAGCACTTCCTTTTTTCTTCCTAAACATCACTTCTTATTAAAACCTTGACTATCTTGAATGGTATGATTTATTTTACTAAATTCAACATCTGCATTTCACAGAAATAATAAAAATAGTATGCACTCAATTCTGTTAATTAAAAAATCCAGCATATTATATCCATATTTATTCACTTCTGAGGACAGTAGTAGAAAAAATAGACCACAACTCTAACCCCAAATACAGCTACTTCTAAGCTGACTTGCACCCATCAAATGAAACAAGCAGCCCAGTGAAGCACAAAGGGAAGGACAGACCCAGGTAGCCCACAGACATGGGGCACAGAGTAACGGGGCAGTCACACCCGCCAGTGGCTCTCCATACAGGTGAAAGGATTAGAAGTGTTGTCCGAAGAGTTCACAGTGGGGCATAAATGGGGAAGCTATCCAAAGGAGAAAACAATCAAATAATTAAACAAATCATACTGAACCTATAATATCCCATGTGCAGAAAAGACAGTTTAGGGGATAATTATTTGATAGCTTCAGAGAAAAGGTAGTGATTCCCATTACGTCAGAGGAGGAAAGCAAATCTTGAATGTCCTGAGAATCTTCTCACAGAGGATAGAAGCAACCCATTGTCCACCTGGCCCATAGGCTAGCCCAAGGTCTTTAATTTGGGCTGGTGCCCATTGACTTTCCACCATCAGTAGCTCTCTGCTTATTTGACAACTCATCTAAACTCTAAAACTTTGAACTCCAGTTCTGCGAGTTGTAGGTAAAATATATCTTCATGAGATTTCCACGTAGATTAAGAACCAGCACCCGAAGGAATGTCAGAGTTCTAGCTGGCACTCCAGAAATATTGGCTTCCCTTCCTCCTCTCCTCTCATTCCTAATCACAAGTTCCACTCCCTGAAGTCTATAGACCCACTCAGCTGCAACAACTGACCCAAACACTTTCCCAGGTCTAGACCATGAATTCTCGACACTGGTTTGGGGAAGTCAGCTGCACCAAAATCCCATTGGAGACTTCACTTTGGGGAAAAAATATTCAAGCCAATTGATTCCATGAAGTGACATATTATCCAATCCAATTGGATGAGACCAAGAAATTTACATAATTAAAAAGTTTCTTAGTTTATTCTGACACATAACTTAAGTGCCTGGTCTAAATCATTTGTGTGTTCACAGGGGAAAGGAATAGAGAAGTCTGCAAGCCTGAGATCTGAGACCACGAATTTACAAACATATGCCTGTTAAATATCTGTGAGTAGGAATGATTTTGTTTTTCCTAATCCAGGGCACATGCCCTAATTTTAGATGCATTCCTGTCCAAGGAAGCAAGAATGAGGAATTCAAGGATGAGGGAGGACTTGACCTGTCATTATACTTCCTAAAGATCAGTCTATTAACTGGGTGACATTTTGGGGCTTCTTGGTGTTCAGAATCACAGCTGTGTCTTAATTCAGGGGGAATCTCAAACCTTTATGAATTAGTCTAGTAAATATAATAAAGGCATAAGAAGTGCAGTTATTTAAAAATTCATTACAGTAGTTTTAGGCGTGAAAGTAATACTGTGCTTATTAGTTCAACTCGTGGACTCAAGATTTTGATTGCTGAGTTCAAATCCTGTTCTGTCTCTCTTCTCTATAATCAGTAATACACACACACACACACACACACACACACACACACACACACACACATATAAATATGGAGAGAGAGAGAGAGAATACTTACATCCTGGGATTAATGTATCAGTGAAAAATATAATATGTGTAGAATTCTTAAATAGAGACTGTCATAAAATCAGAGTTGTTGCTATTTTATTAATTGTAGGATGACAAAAAAAAGAGAGGCAAACGAATAAATGAATTCAGAACAAAGATCTTAAAAAGAAAAAGAATGATGTTTGGAGACATGCATATCTGGATATGAATTTCAGATCCTTGACTTAATATGTTATGTGCATAGCCTTGAGAAAATGGATTCACTTTTCTGTACTGGTTTTGTAACATTTAAAATGAGAAAATAATACCTACCATGGCTATGGGGAGGCTCCAGTGAGATGTAGTACATGCAAGGCCAACAGGACATTAACAAGTGTTTAATAACTGCTAGATCACCCCTCTGTGAAATGATAGCGGGCCTGTTTCTGCTCATGTGGCACATTCAGTGAACTCTTCAGGCCTACCTGTCAGCTTCAGCTCCACCTGAGAAGCTTCGGTGAAGGTGGCATTCACCTTACTGCTTGTTGCATTGAACCAGTCAACAGTTAGAGTTGCGGGTTGTCTTTTCCCTAAATATTCATAATATCCTTTCCATACAGAACTGATGAAAAATACATCTGAAGGAACTATGAGAAGAGAAGAAACAGATGAAGGTTAGAATACACACACACACACACATACACATTCAATTCAAACATTTTTTTAGCATAGAAGGAATAATACTATTCTCTGAGAGATCACAGATAATGACAATGATATAAACAAGGATAACCTTAGTGCATTGTCCTTTCATAGCATGTATAAAAGTCAAAAGAAACAAGTGGGAGGATTATTATGGCACACAAGCAGACATTTGTTTCTTTCCTGGAAAAATATTTCAGAGCCAAAGCATATTTGTTTTAACAGGACTTGCCAAAGTCAGGGGGAATGGTGAATTGGTGCTATTAATGTTAGTTTGGTTTTTATTGTGCTTAGTAAGAAATATATTAAACTGGCCCATGAAATCACTACTGATATTTCAGTAATATCCAAGTCTACACTTTGAATGACTTAGAAGACTCAGAAGAACTGATATATATATCAGCTAGCTATTCCTGACTCTCTCTCTATATATATAGAGTCAGGAATAGCTAGCATTTCCAAACACCCTGTTGACAGGGTAGACCTAGCTTTTGAAGACAAAGGCCTTTCATTTCTTTGGGCCTTCATTTCATAAGTAGAGCCAATATCTCTCTCATTCAAGGTCTTCTGCTCTACTTTAAATTCCTAGTATAAAATAGTCCAATATTAGTAAGAATACAGTTTCCACAATTTCAAATGCCTCTTTTATATGTCTTTTACATTCAGTAATTAATGGCACAAAGTCTTTTTAAAACATAAAATCATCTGGTGCAGAAAAACTTGCAAAAATGATTGCTATATTTTCTCTTGTTTTCATTGCTTATAAAAACAATTCAACTCATTCACATCTCTGTTAATAAATGAGTATACAATCCTTCCATTTTTACCATATCAATACAAAAATGAGCAGTATCTCAATATATAAATCTCCATCAATGACTCCACTGTTTCCTTTTCCTTTTTGCCTTTGATGTGCCTAAATTGTTCCATTAGATGAGATCCATTATCAACTATGGGTAGAATTTGCCAAAACACTTTGTTTGAGTTGCCAGGTGAAAATATTAATTTCATTATAAATATATATTTTTGGCAAATCCACTTATAGTCACCAATGATAAAGACAAAAGTATACTGTGTTTGTGTTCATGCTTCTCTTTCTCAGCCCTTTTTCCTGACTGTGTAGGCAGCTAAGCCTACAAAACTCAGCCTAGCTATGGAAGGTCAAGAAAACACAGAATGTAATAGCCTCCTATGGTTCAGTAGACTCCACTTTCTTATAATACTATTGATAAAATAAATTAATGTAATAATAAACACGTTAACTGATAAATAATATATCAACACAAGTATACAACACATTTGCTGATAAATAACTGCCACTTCAGCTTATCTATCACCAGCAACACAGAGGACCTTTTAAAAGGCAACCTTCACTTTGTTTTTCTTTACTAATATTGATATTCTTTAAAATAAATCAAAAGGGCCCACCCCCACACTAATTAGAACTCATGTACTCATCTGGAGATATTCATGAACTTGTTCAAGTCAGTTACTTAAGTTACTCTTGGTGTACCAGAGAAATGGGCTATGCCTGACTGGGTAGAGTGAGGTACAATCAGTGGTAACTGTGCTTTGAAACACAACCATCAGTCATGTGGTAGAGTCATCTTTTTTGGTCCTCATCACCTCACTTGTTGCTGATAGCATGTAGTATAATGCAGAAACCAAATAGTTGAACTGTGTTAGAATGTACTACTTTGGTAGATAATTATTTTTAATTTTCATTTCCCTTCAGAGAGAATGAGAAAAGGTATATAGATAACACTTGCACCTACAAAAAGAGGATGCAGATATTTCAATATCTTAAAACACAAAATAAGCATATAAAAAACAGAACAGACACACAAATAACAAAAAGAGTTTGTGTTTCCTTTCTTTGAAGAAAGTGTTGTCTGGATAAAGAGTATTGACTTCTTGTTTGATTTGTAAGTAATATTTAAATAAAATAGTCCAGAAAGATTAAAAAATAATTTTTATTCTTTATTGTGTAGATTGGAGAATTCCTTTAATCATGGTGGTACATTTTGCCTTGTCTAAGAACTAAAAGTATAACACAGCATTCTGACTTAACATTACAAATACTCTTTTCATATTTGATTCAAAATAAAATGCTTGTCCAAGAAACCAGTGTTAAAACCTGAATGAAGAAAGTACTAGTCAAGTGATCTTATATAGTTACAAAGATTTTCTATTTCTGATAAAACAACAAAATAATACCAACTTGACTTAAGTTGGTGACACATTTTTTAAAATTTAAATAGTATCTAAGTTTATAACACAGATACTCTATGCTAGATTATTTCAAGTTACAAAAACTTTCTTCAGGAGATAGGACTGCTTCTTTCTGATGTGCTATGCAATGCATTTAGCAAGGCACCACATACGACAAAAAACTATAATCTACATCTTAGAAGGCAGAGGTTGTCTAAAATATGGAGATACTTTTTTTTAAAAAAGTGGGGCTTTGCATCTGAGCTATTCAAATCAACAAGCTGTGTTGTCAAAATGCCTTATTTTCATGAGTATCCTCATTTGGAGGAAAGTATCGCAACCCTCTTTATAAGGCTCTCCATTATACCACACTACATGACCAAGGCTCCTTGTCCAGTTCTGCATACAACATGCCCAAGGCACCTTTCAGTGAAACAGTGAGTGATAACACCACAGGTTTTCTTATTAAGTAAAGTAATGTTGCCTTATTAACAAACTACTGTTGTGAAAGAAATAGAAATCTATGTGGCTTGGTCTCTTCAATAATTGAAACAATAACTTTGTCATGGACTAATGGGTTCCAAAATTTATATGTTAAAAATTGTTTCACTGTTCAAAGTATAGTAGAGAACAAATCACTTTATTGGATTGAAATCTATAACTCTTCTGGTTGGTATACAAACCTGGAGTTTTAGTAACTGTTTCATTAACTTCTCTCACTCCTTTACCTACAAGTAAAAAGACAAATTATCATTTTCAAAAACATTTATTTTTGAATAAGTTTGAAAAAAATGTCAAATTGAAGCAATTTTCCTTTCTCCAGATTTTTTAAATGTACAAAATATGAATACCTTATACGTATACATTTTAAACCCATAGTATTCACAGAAGAATATCATTTGTGTTTGTGAGAAAGCTGAGTTTAATGATTAAAAAATAAATGTACGTCTATCTAACATGTATATTTCCACTTAAAGTGCTACAACAGAGAGCCTTGCAAATGAGGGTGGCTTATATTAAGTTTCCGATATTCTATTTGGGATGTCTTATCCATAACTAAAAGGTAATATCCAAAGTAACTATAATGTTATAATCTCTCTTAATTTTTCAATCTTCCACCAAAATAAATGAATTTATAAATTGCTATTGAAGTACATCAAATTATGTCCTGTGGGGAATGTTTCATTTGGTTTATCAAGGTAGATTTATTTCATAATATCTTAGCTTTTATAGTCTTATATCAAACTACAAATGATAATTTTTTAAGTCTTCATTCTTCTGTTTCTGACAGAGAACAGCAAGGGAAACAAAAGTGTCTTAAAAGTCCCCAATTTGAGAACATATATATGCCCTGGGACATAAAAATGAAGTCACTTTATCACACTCCATAATTTTTGGTTTTGCTGTTTAGACTCAATGCATGTATAAATTATGTTTGATGCAGAACCTGAATGTTTAGCCATCATTACATCTAATGTAGACTTATCACTCTCATTTATAAACACACACATTTGTAATTGATACATCCTTTTTATGTTAATTGTTTTGTAATTTTAAAACGTAGAACCAATGTCAAGAACACATAAACTTATATTCTTCCACAACCAATATGCGGTCTTAAAAAATAATGCAGAGAGTTTGATTTATATATCCCCAGATATTTGTTGATATTTATCTAAATATATATACATATAATTTATATGTTCTCAGATACTTGGGGATATTCATCTTTATTTCTGAAAATAGATTGTATATTATTTTCCTTTTAATTCAGAATGTTTTTCTTCAACCAAGCAGCTTTTCTCTTTGGCTTATACGTACACATTTTAACTTTGTCATGGACTAATGGGTTCCAAAATTTACATGTTAAAAATTGTTTCACTGTACAATTCAATCAGTAAGTAATAAAATTCAATCAGTAAGTAATAAAATCTATATATCTGTGTAGCTATGCCACCATTGTATCAAACACTTACAATACGCACATTCACACACACACACAGCTCACACACAATAAGCACGACTTAGGCGAGGACGATACTACGTCCCTCACACTACCACTTGGGGGTTTTAAACATGGACACTAGCCCAGTGGGCAGCCGATGTCTTCCTTGCTTTTTGGAATGTACTTCCACTCCTTGATCGATGACTTACTTTTACAAACTGGTGACTTCCCTGTCCATTTCATGTCTGCTTTACATGTCCTGTGCTCAGATCCACCTGCAAGGAAAAATCCTGGATGGCAAGTGTATACTAAGGTGTAGCCGAATGTAGGAAGATCGATCGCTCTCACATCCGCATGCGCTGGGGTTTCTGGCTGTCTGCAGGCATGAGCTGAAACAGTATTTATTTCTTTAGTAAGTAAAATACTGAAATTGTGTTCGTTGTAAAGTTAGCACATGTGTCTAAAGAAATAAATAGAGCAAAATAATTTGGAAATGGTTATGAAGTTAGCATTTATATATGTATGCATATATATGCATATATGTATATATTTATTTATTTTAATTTTGTTGTAAGGACGGGATCTTGCTTAATTACCCAGGCTGCTCTGGAGTACCTGGTCTCAAGCAATCCTCCCACCTCAGTCTCCCAAAATATCAAGATTACAGGTAGAGCCACCACACCCGGTATGGGTGTGTGTGTGTGTGTGTGTGTGTGTGTGTGTGTGTGTGTGTGTAATGTGTAAAGATTAAATTAGATATCATAACTTTGAATAAACCAAAGATTTCTGATATACTACTAAGATAAATAATATGTTTAAAATCCTTAAAATGTCAGTCTTATAAACTACACTCAAACAGACAGGTGACTACTCAGATACATACCTTGATTTTTGTCTGGTGGCAAGTAGCACATTTATTATTCAATTAAATGAATAATTAAATTTGGTAAAAATTTGATGTGTATTTATAAACTTAATTGAAATATTATGGATTCTTATTTTCTTTAAAATATAATTTAGAGCCGGGCTCGGTGGCTCAGTCAATAATCCCGCACCTTTGGGAGGCTGAGGTGAGTGGATTACCTGAGCCCACGGGTTCGAGACCCACCTGGGCAACTTGGTGAGACCTCATCTCTACAATAAATAAAAAATGAGCCGGGCATGGTAGCATGTGCCTGTAGTTCCAGCTACTTGGAAGGCTGAGGCAGAAGGATCGCCGGAGCCCAGCAGGTTGAGGCTGCGGTGGCCGGGAGCGGCCACTGCACTCCAGTCTGGGTGACAGTGAGACTCCAACTCAAAAATAAAAAATAAAATAAAATGTAATAGGAAAAATGACGTTGCAATGTGTGTTCTTTATTTGAGGTCACTTTATTCTTTATATAGTTTGCATATATATCTCAAGTGAAAGACTTGGCAGATTATTATAAAACAAGTTTACAATTTTAAAATTGCGAATTCGATTGCTTTAAGTATTGTCACTATTTCATTCTTTTGTAACTTTTCAAACTTTCAACATAATGAAGACATGATATTACCCAGTTCCATTATATATAGTATATATATACACATGCATATACATACATGCATACATACATACTAGAGAGTATGTGTATACATATATATACATATATATTTCTCACATATAATTTGAGTAATGATTTAGTATAGAGATAATAGTTTTGAAATAAATACACATCTAAATTACACATAATCTCACATCTCATATACTATTTCATTATACTATCAAAATAATTTTTCATAACATACTACTGATTTTATGTTTGGCACAAGAAGAATAAGACACTGTATTTTGCTAAGTTCATACTGTGAAAAATAAATGATCGAATTACTAATTATTCACACAGCATTTTTCTAATTCTTCTGATTAGGTCACAAAATAAAATTTGATACTTAAGTAACCATTTAAATGATCATATCAAATATGAATCAAATATATAGCAAGAATAATACTGTGGGTGGTTCTATGTATACTCTGACATATTATATGATCCAATTCATTCTCTCATTAGTAATCTGATATAAATATTCTAGAAGAATAATAGCATGCACAAATAAGTTTCTCTCCAGAAATGTTAAGTATGCTATTCTTTTATCTTGGCTTCAAGCAGTTTGTCAGACTTTACTGAGCCTCAATATCACCCAGAGGGCCTGTTAAATTACAGACTGTCCCTTCTTTCCCCCCACCCTGCCTACAGCATCGCTGATCAGTAGATCTGGGGTCGGGCTTGAAGACTGGCATGGCCACCCACTCCCCAGGCAATGTTGATGTGACTGGTTCTAGAGAAACTTGCTTTGAGAAGCATTCAAAGTTAAGAAATTAAAAACAAACAATACAATTTCCCATTAATTTTAAAACTGTGAATGCAATTGCTTTAAGTATTGTCACTATTTCACTCTTTAATTACCTTTCGAACTTTCAACATAATGAAGACATAATATTACCCAGTTCCATTTTATACACACACACACACACACACACACACACACACACACACACACACACACGAGAGTGTATATTCAACAGTATACATTGCCTAGACATTCAAAAATAGACAGGTTGCTGCTGTCTGTGAAAGAAGAAATCATACTTACGTATACATTCAGTCTGTATCCCACTCCACGTTAAATTCGCAAGGCAAGTTCGAGTCGTGGAACCTTGAATATGGTAACCTTTTCTGCACCTGAAGAAAACTGTGCTTCCAACCTAGAAAGGAAATCCAAACCAGTTTCAGAGGCAAAGGGAACGTGCTCAGTATAAACTAGTAATGTTTTAAAGTACATGCCAGGGTAGAAGTACACCCACAATTTTTAACATTAATGTCAAGTCATTGTGTGAACTAACATGGACATTTTAACTGCATCTTAAGTGTTATACACAATATAGATTGCTCTATAAATGTAAGATATTATTGAATTGTGAAAATGTAGGGGGCTATTGTTTGGGTAAAGAAAGCGTGCATTTTTCTCTTTAATGTTAGAATTCTTTTTCTTTTGTCTGTAATAGAAAAGAAATTATTATAATTTCCTTTTAATTTATTTTTTCTGCTACTCAAGTTTTTAAACAATTGGTATTTATTAGAAAATTGCTAATGTCAAAACCTCTGGGGGGGCTTGCCAAATCTGATTCTATATAAAATTCATCTAAACTCAATGTGTCTTTCTAGTTCCTCTAAATAAACAATTTACTTTTATCAGAATGTCTGAGGCATCATCTCCACCAGATCTTCCTTAAGCTATCTCCTACTTAATTATCAATACTTTGCTTAAACTTTACGTCTTCTTCACGTTCTTTCCTGATATTCCAAGGAGTTATAAGTTACTCAGATGCATTTTCCATAATCCAATGTCCTCTGTGTCACTCACTATGATGTCCTGGAGTTGCCCATGTATTTATTTACCTGTGTTCCTAACTAAACTGGAAGTACCTTGAGGGACAGATTCCCCATGATCTGTACATAGTTGTTTTTGGAGAATGAGTTATGGTCAAGTGTTGATGGGTGCCAGATCAAGCATAGTTCATATCTGCAAGATATCTGCAAGATCATATCTGCAGAACAAGGTCAGTTGTGTACATGTTCAAGGGAAGATAAAACAGCTCTGCGGAGAAGACAGGCTTGCATTCATGACAACTCTAGTTGGAATCAAGTTGTTTCCTCAAGCTTGACTTATGAGGCCACTTAAAAGTACCCAGTAAGAGTCCAAAGATTTGAATACCTGTCTTGATACTTGCTCTGAGAATTTTAACCAGTTACTTAATTCCTCAGTGTCTGTCTTCTCATAGAATCAGCCCTTCCCTCTCTCACTGGGATTTTGAGAAAATAGAAAGTGTGAGAAACCTGTTGGTACATTGACTAGGGAAAACCGATGTCAGTGGGCGTGGGTGGGAGCTGCTTCTGGTCCTTGATAAAGTAGGAGTAGGAATTTACAAAGAAAAAAATTCAAATCTATCTAAACTTCAGATCAATAACTAATTGGAGATTCAACGATGGAAAAGGGTTGACCCATTTCCTCCGTCCAGGGATGGCTTCCATCAAATCTCCTTATAAGTATGTCAGTGACCCCAGTGAGATTTCCTAGAAGACACGTGGTATCAGGAAGGCCACAGAGAGCCCTTATAGTACTTATGAGCAGAAATAAAATATGTGTTCCCCTCAATATAATGTTTTTAGTGGGATCCACCAAGCCGCTTCAAACTGAATATTGTACACCAACCTGTCGCTTGTGGATTTAGGGGACATGCCTCACTACAGAATAGAAGCCAGTCACTTAACTTGCACTATTAATAGTATAACACAGAAATGTTCCACACTGAAATGGTTCATTTTGTGGGATGATGTTTCAGCTTACAGTGCTGAAGAAAACAGACAAAAATCTCATCTGCTACATTAAAAACAAAAATATTTCCTAATGAAGGAGAAAAATAACATTTTGAGAGAGCTGTGTCTCACAGTCTCAAGCATCTCTTTAAAAGATGGTGTCTGGATCTCTTAATTTTAGAAAATCTTGCAGTTGGGTATACTCTATTATATTTTATCTAACAAAGTATAACTTTATTTTGTCATAAGGAGGATGAAATATTTATCCATTCTTAATAGCTTCTTTTGATAGGTTATAGAAATATGTTGCTAATTACTGTCACCATAAACTTTTACTTATTTTTTTTTTTACGTTGTGCATAGACAAGTTAAGAACTGCTCAAAGCAGTGATCAAAATTGTATTTTTTGTAATGAATCAGTGAAAGCAATACCCACTTACATAATATTTCCAAGTGTTCCTGTCCTGGCTACCTGGCAGAATGCCCTTTGTGGGATGTAAAAGAGCTATCAGGAAATAGCTAATGTGCGTCAGAGCCAGTAAAATGGGACTATTTTAATGTTCATTAGAGATGGAGGGAAGTGGCTGAGGATAAAGGGGTTTTTTTGTTGCTGTTTAATTCTAAATTGATGGAATCTTCAACTTGAAAGCAGTATACCTTTAACTTTGCTTTTCAAAGTCAAATAATCAGAGCGTCATGAAGTTACTGAAATACTTAAGATGGCTAAAATATTTTATTTTAAGCTTCATTACTTTCCATTTCTAGGTTTTTCTACAATATTAACTAAAATGTTAATGTGCATTTTATTAAAAGTCAAATGAACATTCCAAGGTGATATTTAGCATGCTAATAATTCGCAGAGCTCTAGGAGATCATATAGGGAATCAGTTTTATAAGTAAGCTTAGACTAAAGGGCTTAAATACATTTTCTTCCTCTGTTTTTTGTCTCTGTAATTTAGTATCATTTACCCATTATATTAAGACTCCTTAAATGGAGCCTTATGTACAGCCCTTCAGTGACAAGTCTCTCTAATTTGAGAATTGCCTTGTGAGTTCAGTAGACAAATAATAGAGCAATACACGCTTTCAAAAAGAAATTAATATGGCAATTGTTATTGCAGTAATCAAGATATAAACCATGATACTGATTTTGACATTTAAAAACACATGTAGAAATCCTCTTTGAAAAAATTTTATTCAGGTAAATATAACATAAATAGGATATGGTATGTTGAAAACATATATATAAACACCAATTCTATTTTGTATTTCCAGAAAAACATAGTAAGATGAAAATGGTATACCTCATATCCTCTGGAGCTATTTTGTATTCCAAAGTGTGGGGTGCCAGGATCTGGGCAGGTGTTATGAGCAGGATCTGAAATTCATGATTTTAAAAAAAGGGCACCAGATTTGGTTATTATGGGAATACTAACATTTTTTTACGAAAAGGTCTTACAAAATTGAGAAAATTTTATTTCAACACATGTGCAAAGATGTTTTTCATGGAAGTTAAAACTTAAATTGCTCTTTTTTTATCATCTCTTTAATATATCTTCTGTAGATATTAATTTTTAGAGCTCTGTCAGACTTTAATATCTATGTATGTTTTATTCTACTCTGTAAGAAAATTCAATCTCTGGCTTAATTTTCTCTGCCGATGTATTTTTGCTTGGTCAACACTACACTATCTTCAATAATGATCTATTCTGATCTTTCAGTGTATGAGGATTGAATTAATGACCATCTTATTTGGCCATTCCATTGCATTATTCCCTTTTTTTGAAATAGACTTTTTTCTTCAGGATTTTAAAATGACAAATATATTTAGTGCTTCAAAACCGAAGCATATGTGAACCGATGGTGACATTCACTAAAAATGTAGAACTTGAGCACTCAACCTCCTTATTTGCTGCTCTCAAACTGCTGGTTGAGAAAAAAAAATAGAAGACACTTTAAAATGTGTTTTCTAGAGTAACTAACATACCGGGAGGGGGGATATTTTTAGAATAGAGTTATCTACCACGTAGCAGTAGTTTACATCAAGTGTAAATATTCCTTTCATTTAAAAAAATGATTAAATGATAATATACTATTGCCATCTTTATTTTTAAGTAGATGTTATTCAACTTCTTGGAAAAAATAGAGACGTGTCATTTTTGTTTCTAAAAATTTGTAGAACATCCATTCTGTCCAGCAATTTCAGTGAACAAAATTAACCTGGCAATAAAACTTAAGGCTACAGATATAAAGCAACAGCGAGGCTGTCTCCCTAGTGATAGGTGTGTCCAAGAACGCTGGTAACTGCATCTTTCCCCTAAGTGATAAAGTTGTCATCTGAGATGGACAGGAGAGGAAGTCGTTGAGGTAAGAGAATAAAGTCTCATAGCTATTTTAGCAGACTTCTTACTTGTACTTCAAATTGCATGATTTAAAAGAAAATGCACCCTAAACTCCTGGCCTCAAGCAATTCTCCTGCCTCAGCCTTCCAAGTTGCTAGAATTACAGGTATGAACCAAGTTGCTAGAATTACAGGTATGAGCATGCGAGCACAAAGGCAGGAATCACAAACACTGAGAACTTCTAGAGGAAGTTGGAGGTTGATATAAGGACATACAACCACTCATTGGGTACCATGTCCACTAGCAGGGTGAGCTAGGACTTGCAAAAGGCCCAAAACCCACCTGCACATAATTTACTTATGTAGAAAGTACTCACATTTTCCCTACAATGCCAAAATTTGAAAATGAAGCTAAACACCAGTTTAGCTCACTAGTGCTTACTCAAAGTTTATGTTACACAGAAAATCATCTGTAGAAAAGTTATCTATGTAACTACAAATGGCCCAATTTTTGAAAGAAACACCCTCATCCTCAAATATTCACAAGGTTATATTATAATTATTACCAATGCAGGTGGGTTGTATACCACTCCACATGCCATCAGCTTGGCAGATTCTTCTTGAAGATCCCACAAGTATAAATGGAGATTTGCAGTGGAAATAGACTTCGGATTTGTAGGTGAAGCTTTTCCCACTAAGTCTCCCCTCAGCAGGGGTTCCAGGGTCTCCACAGAACACAGCTATGGGAAACAACCATAAGAAGAAGAATTCAACTTTGAGCATCCCTGGGTCAGGTTCACCTACTGACCCTGCTTAACTAGCTTCTGTTAAATCTTTAGGTTTAACGTCAACATCATTGAAGGCTCAACATGGAAGAATCCGCCCATGGTCAATGTAGTCTAAAGTGTGAGTTGTTACATATCGTGATAGGGATAGAATTACACATCACGATGTTCTTCAAATTACAACCTAGGGTTTGCCATGATTGTTGGCCACACTAGCAGATCTTTTTCCAGCAGAATACATCCTGCTGTGGAACTTACGCAGGCACTGGGGGACCTCTCCTTTCCACACCCCATGGCCTTCACAGGACAGGATGGCTGAGTGAGAGAGCTGATAGCCATCCACGCAGCTGTAACTGATGCTGGAGCCCCAGTGGAAATCTGTCCCCTCCACCTTTCCATTCTGCACCACAGGAGGCTGACTGCACAGGACGGCTGTTTCCAAAGAACAAACAAGATTAAGCACTCCAGAACTTCTACTGTAGCTGCGATGTTCAAATGATTCACATTTTAATTTTACCTGAATTACAAATGACATCTACATAGGGGTTTTATTTAATATAAAAGAATTACTGAGGAAGACAGTAAACCACAATAATAAAACTTTTCTTCAGTATTTCTCCATTAATTTAGATCAAGTACATAAAAGCGAAGTCAAGTCAAAACATATCCCAAGGTAGAAGAAAACAAGATTGAACATGACATTCTCATATATACAAGGCCAAGAAAAGAAGAAACATTCTTAGTTAATTTGCGTCTTTTTGTGATGGTTACTGAAGACAATTCAAATGAAAATTTGGTCATAGGACACGAATTTATACATACAGATGGCAAGAATTTCTCCTGCCATCTGTATTTGTTATTTAAAGATAGCATACCATTTTCAAAACATGCAATCTGTCCATTCAGTTGCTGAACATATATTTTTTAAATACTTAAATGGTTAAAGAAGATTCTATAAAATATCAGTTGCAACTGTTTTATCACAGTCTCTAAGCCTGATGTCTACTTTATAGGGCCAAGAAGTAACAACATGGTTCCTAGGGAGGACTAGCTGGTTGGTGACAGCCCCACAAATCCGTCTTCCCCACTCTAAAAATTATACTAAGGCATGCAATAGTGGGGAAAACATGTAAAAACCACGGTCTCAAAGTCTTCTTCTCAAAGTCTTCTTTCTCAAAAGATTTCTGAATTTCTGAAATTAGTGGAAGTTTTCAAATGACCCTGTAGGCAGCAGAAAGCATCACGAGAGGATACCCACCTGCATTTTCTTAGCATGTTCAGGCTCATGTCTTCTCAAGTGAGAAAGACATGTTGATACACATGAATCACACATGCATACCCAGCAGTTGGAACTGACTTTTTCTTTGGTCACTTCACCTTCTACCCATTGGTTCATTTATGCCACAAATACTTTCGGAGACTCCACAGTGAGGGTTGGGAAAATGTATGCCCGAGACCCAGGGAATGTCTGGTGTGAGGTCCCATTAGGAAGAGTCATGGGGAACATGGTTTGCCAGAGGGTGATGTAGGGAATAGCAGGAGACAAGCTCAAGGAGAGAGGAAAACAGGTATGAACATGCAGGGCCTTATTGGCTATGGAGTTGTTATGATATGGGTTACAATTCAGATTTAGGTAGACAAATGGTCATTGTACAGGTAATGTTTGGGCTTCCCTTTGGTCCTCACTTTTTCCTGCTCTTTGTCTTTCAGAGCCCACTGAAGACACTTTCTCCACCAAAGCTACCATGTGTCCAAGTCCTTCCCCTCTGTGTGTATTTGCTCCCAGTCTAATAAAGAGTAAAGTATCACATTTCTATGCATGACAGCTGATAGCCTTCAAGCCCTGCTCCTTCTCATCCCCCTCTTGCTCTTCTTTGCATCGGCAAACAAGGAAACCTGGACACTTCCCTTTTGGTGCCCTTGAGGATGCTCTGACCATGCAGACCCTTGCCCCTGTATAGCACTTATGCAGCCCCACTACCTGGTCACTATCAGAGCCCATTCTGCTCACTTTGCTTTGCTTAATTCACCTCAACTGACTTGAGCCTGCCCTGATCCCCTAGAATGTCCAGTTATATGAGTCCTAAACCTCTTGGTGCCTTCTCTGTATGTGTGTCCTCTTCTGTCTCAGCAACCAAATTCCACAAATTGTCAAGGCACTAACACGCTCTCCCAACATTCTGCCATTATCACATGAGTACTTGTCCCTCCAACCTACCACTAAATTCCTATAATCATATTCACCATTGTATCAGACATGAGACTTAACGCAGCCAGAGTTACAAGTTTTCCAAGGACAGCAAAGCTTTGGGGTTCAGACACAGACTCCAGCGGTGATATGACCATCATTTAATACTGACTTCTCTGGTTTCTGGTCTGTGACCCTAAGTCTTTTATTCTGCCCCTCTGTGAATTAGTTTTCCCATCTGTAAAATTGAGATTAACATATTTTGAAAATAAAGTGATTCAAATGGGTTTTCAAGAATTCCTAGCCCCTAGAAAGGTTACCTAAATGCTTGCAAAATGAAATAGAACTGAATTCACCAAAGACTTCTGTATATATCAACAAGACCAAATAGTAATGACACAGACCTTTGCAGACAGGCTTGCTCTGATTCCATGTGCTGTCTTTGGTACAGCGAATGGTGGATGCCGTGACAGGTTCCATGAGATAGCCGGGGTTGCACTGGTAGCTTACAGTCTTGTTGAAGGTGAAGTCAATTCCAAACTGGATGCCATTTGCCAGTGTTCCTGGGTCCCCACAACTTATAACTAATAGGCAGGTAACACAAAAGAATCAAAGAAACACATTTATCATGAAACGAATTAGTCATGGTTTCTATTCAAGTTACTCTTTGAGTTGCGATTTAAAGTGATTAAGCAGTGAATTACTAAAGTGATATGGTTCTCTGATGATTTTTGCTGACCCCGCTGTCAGGAGGCTATGTGGTTGGAATCACTTATTTCTTTTCTATTGTTTGGCTATCAGATGCTGGCTTCCACCCCTTGACTAGGTACTAATTAGGCTCGTTGTGCAATCAGGGATGCATAGGCTGCAGTCACAGTCAGAGGACCAAACACCTTTCTTCTTTCTGGCAGACTAAATGATCTACAGATAGAGAAAGTCTAAGCTTTTGCGGGGCTGGGGAGCGGGGAGCAGGAGGCTCAGTTTTACAGTTCCCAACACAACTGGTCTTCTTAGGTAACTTCAACTACATAAATAAGAAAGTGGAGAAAAATCTCAGAGTACCTAAAAACAGAGTCATAATAGCAAACATATATATATTTTCTCTATGAATGAAATAAATAAATAAAACCTTAAAGATCCTTTTTTTTTTTCCCTCAGTGAACTGGGTTTCATAGCAATGGAACCATGACACATCCACACGACAGCTGATTACTAACTTGTGCAGTCGGGGGCTGTGCCTGTCCAGGTCCCATTGGCTGTGCAGTGTCGAGTCATCAACCCAGAGGTCTTGTAGCCCTCCCAGCAGGCATAGATGACCGAACTGGAGAACAGGATGCCATCGCTGCTGACAATCATGCCATTGGTGGGTGTGCCAGGATTGCCACAGGACACAGCTGTTATGAAAACAAAAATGGTGACACAGGAAGCCAGTGAACATGATGAAAATGACAAACACAGAAGACCAATGGTTGTCTATTTAATAGACTCCAGATTTATCACAATACCACAGAGCATAATCCTATGGAAGATCTTTAATATATGTTTTACAACCTACATGTTTATTTTATGGATTAGCTACACATGTAAAATTGGATTTTCCACATTCTTTTCTAAAGTGCATTCCAAAACACTTGAGCTAAAGCACTGAAAGTTCGAAGTCTTGTTGCTCAGGGACTGAACATTTTAACTACCAATATGGAATTACTGTGATTTTTTATAAAAGGATCTCTATGAAGTTAGCAACAACTGAGAAGCATCCTACTTCAGGCAATAGCTGTGTTTTTAAAAATCTGGGTAAATCAGGTAACATTTTACATCTTCAGGAATATTTATTTTGAGAAAAAAGAACATCTTGGAATATGAATGACTGCACATAACCTGGTTTTGAAATGGTCTCCTCAATATCACCAACTAAAGACAACTGTGTTAATTGGCTTTACATGGTTGCACTTCTCATTTCTCTCAAAAAGGTCTTAATGCCATGTACATACACCAAGACCTCAATTAAAGATGGTCAGTGCAATAGGTCTGTATTCCATGGATCTATTTTGTGTGTTCCTTAGTCAGCAAACAAAAGGAAATTCAGCTGCTGCAGGGTACATTTCAAGATGATGATTTAAATCTTTAAATTTTTAGCCTTGTTTATTCTAGCCTACTTATCAGAAATATTGCTATATTTTCTCCTTAGCTCTGTCACAATAATGTACAAGGCAGGTAAATAAAGATTCTGAACCCTGGCTGGATTTTAACATTAAGAATGTATTATGAGGCTATTTCTGAGAGTGACCAAAAAATTTGAAAATATTTTTGAAATTTTGTTGATCTAATTTCAAACTAACCTTGAAAACAAAGATACATTTCCCTTAAAAACATGGATTAAAACAGGCTGCACAATTCACATATTATAGAAATATATAGAAGTCACTATACTGGAAGTCGAGGGTATTACATTTCTTATAACATTGGAAAAATACACTTATGCTCAGTTTGATCTGGATCTTGCTTGAAAATATAATGCATAGTGCAAACACTGGCACTTCTGCACCTGTGCCCATGGCAGACATAATTAATCAATAACAACCCTCTTCTTTGATGACTCTGGGATTAAACTGACAATCTTTTTTTTTCCTTCCCCACAGATCTATCAGTAATTCTCTGGTTGGCATGTGAGCTGAGATATATTTACCAATCTAGAAACAGACGATATCTAATATTTTCTAAAACTCAAAAATTTTATGACAACTACAATATGTTGAAATTTTATATTGGGTTAATTAAGGTGTTGAACTATTCAAGGCAGTCAATCAAAAATGTTTATTTGTTTATTCCTCACTTACTATGCAACAGGTATCATGTGCCTGTCAACATCTTTAAGTGTAAAATTAATATAACAAAAATACTCCCAGCTGCTATACAATTTGCTACATGTAAAATACCTAGTAAGAAATCTGGTGTTTGTGTGGTAGCAATGAGAAAGTTCATAGCCAAGGCTATTTTTGTTTTCATCATCATCATTTTCCCACTATTAGAGTACAATGCAGGTTCTGTCTTCTTTTCATGAGAAAGAGGATTAAGAGCTGCCTCATGCAACTAAAATCAAATGTAGCTATATTTATGCAACTGCATGAGGTAAACCCATTTGAAATGTTAAGTTAATGAACCTATGATTAAATTGCTGACAAAAGTAAATATGATTTCATGTGATGAAAACATATAAGGAATATAAATTATTGGATGTCTAAAAATTTTTAAATAGTTTTCTTTTTGGTTGATGAACCCCTCCTTTTACAATTTATTCAGATTTTCCATCAGTATCAAATTTTGTTTATAGATTCAGAGGAAGTAAATTCATCAGGTTTGACATAATCTTAACTAGAAATTTGAACCTAGAAATCATGGCTAACCTTCCTGGAAATACCGTCACCTTTTTTTCTGCAGAGAATGACTTGAACCTCAGAGATTTGGACCTATGATGGCAAATGAGGACAGAGAAATAGGAATCTATAGATTATTCCAAAAAACTTGTAAGAGTTTTGCTTGAGTGAGTGTTCAGTCACCTATTTTTATGCATAATTTGTTCAGTTTTGTGGGTGTCATGTCTATTGTAGTTGGCTAACCCAACTTTCCATGATTTCTGTATTATACAATGCAGTTTTAGAAGTAGTCAATTTTGTGTAGCATGGCATATTTGAGAAATATTTTCAGCATTGCAACATTCTATAACTTATCTTCTGTGTACAAAGTGTTTAAGTGCCAAGTTTGTAATTTTTTTTTTTTAGAAAAAATGATTTCTAACATTAGAAAAACAAAATGCTGTTTTGAAAATACTCTGCATAGTCTGAGTTGGGTACCTTGTGAATAGAAATTCAATTAAACTCACTTATTTAAGCTAATTAATTGGTGTGTACCCTGCTGGAATAGAGCTCACAGTGTTCTATTAAAACCGCAAAGAGTAAAAATTCTTAGGACAAAACAATACTCATTCTCAACTGCTATAATTCTGTTCATCTTTTAAATTTGCAAAAACTGAAATACTTGAGCTAAGTCCAATATAGAATGAATAGTCCCAAGTGAGTAACACTCCTTTATAGAATACATAATGTTCAGCTATCTAGGAATGTGACAGTCTTCATTTATCTATTCTGTTCCATTGGTCCTTGTGTCTGCTTTTGTACCATGATGTTTTGGTTAGAAGACAGGCAATGTGAAGCATTTTTGCTTAGGATTTCTTTGGCTATTCAGGTTCTTTTTTGGTTCCATATGAAGTTTAAAGTATTTTTTTCAATCCTGTGTAAAATGATGTTGGCAATTTAATAAAGATTGCATTGAATCTATAGATTACCTTGGGTAAAATGGTCATTTTACCAATGTTGATTCTTCCCATTCATGAGCATGGGATTTTACCCACTTGTTTGTGTCCTCCATAATTTCTAGTTCTCCTTGTAGAGATCTTTCACTTCCTTGATTCAATATAGTCCCAGGTATTTTAATTTTTTGGCTGCTATTATAAATGTGATTGAATTTTTTATTTCATTCTCAGCTTGGTCATTATTGATGTATAGCAATGCTACTGATTTGTGTGTGCTGATTTTGTATCCTGAAACTTTACTGAATTCATTTATCAATTCCAGGAGTCTTTTAGAGGAGTTGGTAGAATTTTCTATGTATAAGATTATATCATCAACAAGCAGTGGTAGTTTGTTTTTTCTTTTCCAATTTATCTACCTTTTATTTCTTTTCTTTATTTCTTTTCTTTTTTTTAAAATTGGAGTCTCCCTCTGTTGCCCAGGCTGGAGTGCAGTAGCACACTCATGGCCACCACCCCGACATTGACCTGCTGGGCTCCAAAGATCACTCCACCTCAGCCTTCCAAGGAGCCGGAAATACAAGCAGGCGCTACCATGCCCAGCTAATTTTTTATTTATCGTAGAGCTGAGATCTCGCCAAGTTGCCTGGCCTGGTCTCCAACACACGGGCTCAGGCAATCCACTCGCCTTGGCCTCCCAAAGTGCTGGGATTACAGGCTGAGCCACCGAGCCTGATCTACTTTTATTTCTTTCCCTTGCCTGACTACTCTGGCTAGGACTTCCAGTACTATGTTGAAAGAAGTGGTGAAAGTGGGCACCTTGCCTTTTTCCAGTTCTGAGGGGGAATACATTCAACTTTTCTTCACTCTGGATGATATTGGTTGTGGGATTGTCATATATGGCTTTTCTTACTTTGAGGTATGTTTCATCTATGTCTATTTTGCTGAGGCTTTTATCACAAAAAGGTGCTAGATTTTATCAAATTCAAAACCAGGGCTTAGGTTCAATATTGCATTTAACATTCTTGAAAACAGAAGTATTGCTCTGCTTCTAATAAGCATCAGACTATATTTAGAAAGTCTAAATAATTATTCCAGCACTGATTTACCAATATCCAGTCTGCTTTGTAACTATTGAGAAAATGTTTTAAATGTAAAATAAAATACTAGTGATGATTTGGCTCTAAACCTTGCTCTTTCTTATACAAAAGAAAATAAAGCCCCAGAACCAAGGCGTTGTATGCATAATTACATCAAATCAGGCCTAGAACCAAGATGTCTTAACTTATTAACCATGGTGCTTTTCAAAAAGTCCTGAACGACAAACATTACAGATATACACAATGTTGTCAGTTGCAATTTAAAAGAAATATTGAACATTTGCTACAGAAATTGTTTTTTGGTTTTTTTTTTTTGAGTTGGAGTCTCACTCTGTCGCCCATACTGGAGTGCAATGGCCGCTCCTGGCCACCGCAGTCTTGACCTGCTGGGCTCCGGCGATCCTTCCACCTCAGCCTTCCGAGTAGCCGGAATTACAGGTGTGCACTACCATGCCCGGCTAATTTTTTGATTTATTGTAGAGATGAGGTCTCATGGAAATTGTTTTAATTTGTTGGCAACATTTTTATAACTCTATACCTTGTTATAATTACAGGATTACACAAATTTTTGCAAAAATGGTATAAGCAACTCTTATACATACTCTAATCAGATTCACCAATTTTTTACATTGTGCCTATTCTTTCTCTCTCTCTAAATATGTATATAGTTTTCCTAAAATATTTGATAGTAAATTACAGACATTATAAACTTTTACAGGTAAACATTTCAGTGTGTGTTTCCTAAGAGTAAAGACATTCTCTTACACAACCATAATATAATTATTTTAAAAAATGAAATCTAGCTTTGATAAAAGTCTATTATCTAGTGTACATTGTTCATAATCTATTTTACTGTAAGTTATTGAACAGATTTTTAATAGTGTCATTAAAGTCCTGTGTCATTTTCAACATCTGGGTCATCTCAGGGTCAAATTATATTATCCCAACACTGTCTTTTATAACTATCTTTTGCCTAATATAGGTCTTAATCCAAGATCACACACTGCATGCATCATGTCTCTTAAATATGGAAGAACGCCTAAGCCTGTGTCTTTTCTGATCTTGACCTTTCCTCAAGAATATATGCAAGTTGATTTGCTACATGGCTCTTACATATTTTTATTACTTCTTCAGGACTATATTTGAGCTATACAGTAATACCATAGAAGTGATAATGTCTCTTTTTCAGTGCTTCATACCAGGAGGCACAGAATATCTTTTTGCTAAAATATTGGTGATAATAACTTATCCCTTGTAGTTTTCTACTTAAGGTAAATGCTATAGAATAGAAAACACTCCAGTTTTGGTGGGAAAACATTGCTCTCATGGAAATTTTAATATTCAAATCTCTATAAGATGAGAAGAAACAAACAAAAAATGCATTTGAGTAAAAATACAGTCTACTAGTTTATATTCACATGCCTCAGTCAATATGAGAAAGATAATCCTGCAATTCACAGATACAAGTAACTCTCTTATCTCTTAACCTGTTATATTTGACCAAAGACTTATTTTTGGGAATCTAGTCTTAAGAGTTACACTACTTTGATTGTCAAGAGACAATTCAGAGTCAACACTTCTCTTGGATCATTGTCTCTTTGTGTGTGTGTGTGTGTGTGTGTGTGTGTGTGTGTGTATGCCTATCTAATATGCATCTATATAATTTAAGATAATCTTTTGAATGATAATATATATACCTACATAAGAGGCATGAACAAATATAACATATAAAGATATGTACATATATTTATCTATATACATACATAGGATTATCTTATATATAAAATATATGTTGTATTATTATATACAATATAGTTAGATTATATACATATATTATTTTATCTTTATATAGTATATAAATAAGTAGAGAAAGCACAGTTAAGAAGAAAAAATCAAGATGAAAGAAATTCAAGTTATATTTCTGGTACAATATTGTGTGAGTTTATTCAAGTTGGTCAAATTATATAGAAAGTGTTTCATACATCTAAAAATAAGTGTTTAAATAATTTTCATAATATTTTTAAACTCAAAAATTAATGGAGAAGCTTCCTGATAAAGAACTTCTAACACTTGATGTCTTATCTGTCTGAATTCTAATTAGTTTTTTTCTGATATAATTATCTTTTCTGCACCTACACAATGTTGGTCATCATACCTCACTTTCTCTTTGCTTGGAGCAGACACTACTGATAAATGACAATTTTTACTGTCATCACTGGAACATCCCCTCATTTGCTACTATGTCTTTTAAATATTAAAATCAAATAATTCACTCCAAAATATACAGATATAACCCGAGATTCCTTGTAATGAGATGCACCCAACAAGGACCACCAATAGGTGGGGAATGACACGTGGATGAAACCTGTTCCCTGCCTGCAGAAATTCCCCTGAGCAATTTGGACTCCTCCTACTCAATGCTCTGGAACCCTATTCATTCACAGTCAGGACACTGGCAAAATCACACACACACATCACCATCAGGAGATTGGAACTTCTGTTTATGTCATAAATTTTGATAGGATCAGTGTTACAGAACCTTTGAACAGTCAGAAAATCTCCATCTATCCAACTATAATTTTGATGATGCTTTGATGAATTTGGGTGGAGGAAGGACTTAATTGTACAAATAATATACATTTCTAAGATTTCTGTGGCATTTTGCCAGTCATTTTAGACTGAGTTGCGGGGTATAACTTTCAACGTGGACTTTAATCTTGAGTATACTCACCCTCACACACAGGTTGCATTCCTGACCATGACCCATTGAGCAAACATGTCCTCTCAGGGGAGCCCCTCAGTTGGTGGCCCATCTCACAGGAAAAGCGGAGAAGACTCTTAGTCTTAAACTCATCTCCCAGCCGAGACCCATGTGCTGGCGTCCCCGGGTCACCACAAAATCCAGGATTGTTCCCTATTAAAATTAAACACATATGGCAATGCACAATTGTTTCAGACTTGTTTTAAACAGAGTTGTTATGTTAAAGAAAATGGCACAGTGTAAAAATATGTGTTTACCATGTGTTATGGTTACATAGAATTCTGGCAATCTTGTAAGAAAGATTTTATTTTCTGTGATTGACCCAAAATGAAAGAATTTAAGGCATTGTTTCTGTGTCACTAAAATCAAAATAGCCTATTAAAATGCAATTACAAGAATAAATGACATTCGTTTTGAAAAAAGACACATTTTGGGAAATGGCGAAAGCAGCAAGTGTTTATTGGAAAGGTAGGCACAGGTAGAAAAAGGGAAAGGGAGGGTTCAGGTATACTGGATATGTAAAAAAATTAAATGAGGTTTAATTCTTCACAATTGTGTTCATAATTGCTGATTTGCTCAATTTTATTTATTTAAGAAGTAATCATGAAAGAGTTAAAATAATATTTTTTTTCCAAAAAGGACCAATGATGAAGGTGGGAAAATGTGGAGGGCTTGAGAGAAAACACAGAAAAAGAAGTAGGAACAAGCAGGGACAGACTGAGCTGAAGTAAACCAGCTTCCCAAGCACATGTAGTCCAGAAACTCCCAGGACTCCTGTGAGAGAAAATGTAAAGTGATGGTGTCTCACAGCAATGATGGAGATGATGGCAGCGATCTATAATCATGATGTATTTGACTGGAAATGGGACAATAACAGGTTCAAATAGGTGCATGTGTGTGATATTTCAAATAATTATCTAATTGCAGAATCCTTACCTGTACAGTGGGGCATTGTTCCACTCCAGTGACTGTCTTCTTGGCAAACTCTGGTGTTGTTACCTATAAGACTCCGGATCCCTTTGCATGAGTAGTGAACTATGGCACCATATGTAAACAGCTCTCCAGTAAGGACAGAATTGGCAGGAACTCCTGGGTGCCCACATGATATAACTTAAGATAAAAATAAAATAAAATAAATGAGCATGTCATTCTGGTTAAATCATTTTGTATTGGTAAATTTCCTATATAGACAAACATACAAACATCCTGTATTAAAAAAAAAAAAATCTAGTCTTGCATAGTGCTACACTTCACTGATATAATTAGTGATAAATACAAATTTTCAGATAGCATTCCTTCCCCTGATTTATTTTCTGAAGAAAAGAAAAGGCTTCCTTTATTTTCTTAAAATTATACCAAATCAGATCCATAATATATGTATAAATGTTTCTCAAAAAAGCAATTTATGAAACACAGATTGATACGGCACAGTGAAAATTTATACCTTTTTCCACGAGGTACCAAGTTAGGGTTAACAATGGACAAATGTTTATGCTACTTGCAAAACCAACAATAACAACAAACTAACAGGACATAGACTACAGACAAATTATTTAAATGCAATTGATTTAATATCCTAAAGTAATTGATTGCGGCCAGTAACCAGCAATCCAAAAGCGATATTCATCAAAGAGGTGGATTTAAAGCCTGGAAGGCATTGCAGTACTCTGAGTTATGTTAGTTCTCACTGTTGGTTTTGCATGAACATTCATTCATGGAAGAATCAAATTGTATCTACATAGAGTCCTAAAAAGAAGAACCAATTAGACTGTTTAAACAGTGAAATGCTGGATAAGTGACTGCTTCCAGGTGAAATAAAAAAGAGATAACCATCAGTGAAACAATGTAACAGCAAAAATTGACACAAAGTCTAGTTGCTCTGTGGTATATAAAAGTAAACCAGTCCTCTGAGATCTTTGTATCCCTATCTTCATAGTAACTCCCACTGCTAACAGCAAGTGATGGGAAGTAGCTGTCTGGGAAAACAGAGTCAGCGGAGACCCAGTTCCTGGGGATTTGAAGCATGTTAGCATCATTACAGAACAAGCTGAAGTTTCAAATAAGCCAGGGGAGACTTAAAAGAAATGATTCAGAAAGAAAATAACAACAGTAACAACAAATACCTAATGTCTGTGAAAAATCCCTATGTGTGAAAGTATGCAAAACTAGAATGCAGACATAATTTGATGAAGATTGTAATACATTTACAGATGCATTTTTTTGTTCATATAAAGCTGAGATTGTTTGAAAGTTATCATTTTCTTTCCTCACGAAAATTAATTGTATTGTTAAGTTAGAATTGTAGGTAAGTTTCTGTGTAGATTAGGAGTATGAGGGAAACCCACTTGGAGAAAAAAAAAAAAGTACCAATCCACCCTCAAAGGGTACTTACCAAGCTGTAACTGAAAGAAGTGGGGTGGATTATAACCACACAAGCATGTGTGTGTGTGCGCATGTGTGTGTGTGATACAATTCATAACATAATTGTCATTTTATGTTTTCTTTATGCATGCAAAATGTACACTAAGGAAATGAGATTTTGATTTTTAGAAGTGTTCTGTTTCTGCTTGATTTTTAAAAGGCCAAAGAGAGTAACACCATTTTTCTAATTTTTTTAGAGTATGCTCTTAATAGATGGGTTTCTTTGAGCTAACAATCTAATTTTTCAAGTGAAAAAATAACACTATGGCTATTTGGGTAAAACAATGTGTCCTTGCTAAACACCATAGTCTAAAATACACCGATGACAATGTCCTGGGAAGGTCACTGTGATCATGAATAATTTTCTCCTCCCAGTAAAGCATCTTCATTCTTCTGAATAACATCCCTTCTCCTGATTTAAAGATACCATTCATGAGGAAATAACTGTTAGAATACTAATTTTTTTTACTGTGGTCATTATTGATGGGACCAAAAGCATTCATGAGACCCAAATTAGGTCTCTCAGAGCACTTAATCCCTTGGCCAAAGATACTTGGGCAACCACTGGAAATTTTATACCAGAGTCCTTTGCCAGTATCTCTAAACCTAGGACAAGAAAGTGGAATTGAGACACATGTGATGTTGAGGTGTCTGGCCATCATATCTGAACTCTGTGGAAAGTGCTCATCTTCTGGATCGAGATAGGCAGATAAATATCAGTAGAGACAGAGGAATCACTGACCTACATGGTGTTCAATAACCAGCCTGGTATATGAGCATGTCAGAGCCCCCTCACATTTAGTCTAGGTAATATTTTGTGTTTTCTGACCACTGTATCTACAACTATCATAGGAACTCATACAATTGGTGATGAGAGTGCAGACAGAATTAAAATTCAGTGCTTTTCTGAATATACCACATTAAAAAATTGTTCCATTGATGATGCCCTTGCAGGGCTCTGTGGCAAGAATCCAGAATAATTTGTACTTACCCAGACACTTGGGTAAAGAACGATCCCATAAGCCATTTGCCATACAGGTTAAGGCCGAAGATCCCAGCAAATAAAAACCCTTCTTGCAATGATACAGGACGCTCATTCCATACTCAAAACTCTCAGGGAGATTCTGCTGCCCGTGACGAATGGCATTTTCCACAAAGCCTGGGTCAGAGCAGTTCACCACTGGAAAATAAAACATAGTATATGTCACTAAGAAACAGCTGCAAGTTGCAAATAAAACATCAGAAAAGGAGACAAATTCCTCAGCATTTTAGATAGTTCACACTTATGCACTTCTCTTTACTTGATGAATTCTACTTATTGCTTTGAGCCATTATACTTTTTAAAAAATCAAGCAATAGTTCGGCTACAATAGCAATTTCAACACAAGGGTAATTACCTTTAACTATTTTCTAATACATATTTTCCAACAGAAATTCTAAAATTAGTTTTCTTGGTTGAAATTAGTTTTGTTTCAATATTTTTTCTCAAATGTGAAGTTTTAGAACCCTCTGTGGCACAGTAACTAATTATCCCCTATACATATCTACAGGTTTAATGCTTCAATATGTACACCTCAAGTGATTTCTGTTATATGTGGAATGCAACTAAAGATTACAATTCTTCCATCAACACCTAATAGAAATGTAAATCAAGCCAGTCTCTGATTTAAGCCTCTTCTCCATTTAGAAACAGCCCTGTGGTGAGAGAGTCCTCTGTGGTGTGCAGACATGCTCTGGTTCATCTGAAAGACATTCTATTAGCCTGAATGCCTGTTGGCATCTGGGAGGGAATTAGCAATGTGCTTTTGCAGGTGCAGAGGAAAAGAGAGAGCCCTGATTACCTCATGCTCTGACCCACCACGCCAGTGAATGAGGCAGCTGTCGTGGAGGCCACACTCTCTCCAGACATTTCTGGCTCAGAAAAGAGTCATGCAAATAACTCTCAGGCGGCCCTTGCACGTCATGGGTCCCAGAAACTGAAGACAAACCCCACACCCAATCTGTGCACTGGATGTCTTCTCTGTTAAAGGAGAAAGGTGGAGGGCAGAATTGAGATGGACGGACAAAATCCCCTTTTGATGCTGTTGAATAATGTTCTCTGCTTTTATAAAAAAACCCTGAGTTTACAGAAGAAAGTTTTAAGTTCTTTTATCAAAAAAAGGGGGAAAAATACACATTTATGAGGTACAGGAAGGAACATTTAAAGCCTCGTAGTGCTCACATTGCATCTGCAGTAAAACTATAACCAAAACCTCTTAATAGCAGGTGTTTCTACTCTGAGAAAATCTAATAAACGTAAAACATTGATTGTTTGTATAACCTGAAAAAGAACTTCCTAGACCCATTCTTACTTATATGTCAAGAACAGGAGATGGAAACAGTTGTGACACACCTTGGAATGGAGTGAAGGGCTGCCTGGACCCAGACACTGAAGACGTTTTGGTGTCCATGTTTGTGCTTGTGTTGCTCTTAGGAGACTGCCCCAAAATAATATAAACTTGTTTTTGTAGTCAGGGTAGAGAAAGCCCCTTAGGCAATATGAGTGGAAAGCTTTGAATCATCTTCCCAACACTTCTCACCAAAGAAGACACTAAGTGACCCACAGGACACTGAAGGCTCAAACCAAGCTGCTTCATTTTCTAGGAGAAGTGGGGGGCAGCATTCCGTAATATGGCCTAACTGTGCAGTGAGGAAGGGGGAATATACAAAGCAACTATCTCTGGGTCTGGAGCTAAGAAAGGAACAGTCTATAGGCAAAAAGTACAAAAGAGAAAGAAGAATTCCTGGCAGAGATGCAGTTGTCAGTGTAGTGACAATGGGATCTGCCAATACCCTTCTCTTTTTGAGCCCAGAAATGGAATGTTCTCTGAGTTCCACCATGGCTGGAGCAGAGAAATTTAGTATACATGAGTTCCTTGGCCTTGCTCTGAAACTGTGGAATGGGACTACCTGGAGAGGCCTTCTACCAGGAGAGAGGCACATAAAAGACAGTAACATCCTCAACCCTGGAGATCAATCTACAGTGCTAGGTTGCTTTAGAACTGCCTGGAATATGTGCTAAAATGCTGGATCCTAGGTTGCTTACCATTCTTTTACCTAGTTCAGTATCCTTTAAATGTTCAGCAGTAAAAGAAATACCTGAAAGCAATGAAGACTCCATGACCTCCTCCTGGGAAAACTGAATGGGCTCATAAGATGGAAGAGGCATGTCTACAAAAACTCTAGGTCTGCTCAGGCATTTTATTTTTGCTCTAGAATAAGCTTGCAGTCAAAAGTATCTCTCTGTATATTCCCTCCTGTTTGTTTGTGAGGCTCCGTCAGGAGATTCAGCTTCAACTATCTTCTGGGAGAAAAAAAATAGAGCAGGAATAATTTGATTTATTTGTCCATGACGGAAAGAACTTTCAAATATTCTGTGCCACTGGTTCTGATGGGTGTGTTCTGCCAGAACAGTTCATTAATGCCCAAAAAATCCACACAAACAGCTTTCCCATCTGTATTCCTTCTTCTGTCTTGTGTGCGAGTGATTCCCACCTAGGGATCTGGTGGAAAGAGTCTTGCTTGACTGACAGGTGAGCTGTCAGGGAGCAAAGTGCAATGAGTCAAATCACTTACACCATTGTGCAGCGTGCAAAATGGCCAGCGAAGTGGATAGTGTGCAGAAGTATCGGACCAAGTTAGAACTTACTGAAATTACACAATTGTTTTGTGACATGATGTTAATATAGGATCGTGCCTCAGAAAGAAATTCAGAGGCTCCTGGTAGAGGTCTATCTCCTCTTAAAAATCTTACCCTCAATATGCTAAGACTTGATTTCCAGATGTGAAAACCTGACAGAGTGCTGAATTTTATCAGCTGGGAGAAATAAGAATATTGATGTCTTATATACTTATCCCAGAGTGGAGAAGTTCAAATGGACACACAAAATGTGCTCTATGGGAATGTTTGTATATGTGGAAGGATAAAGAAGAAATTAATATACTAATCGTAACAGGTCCAAGGTCCCAAGGGCCAACATATTAGATGTAGGTAAAGATTAGGACCCCTAAACACCTGTCTGGCATAGCATACTTATAAACATACATCCATATTTCCTGGTGACATGAATCCCAAATGGAACACTCCCCTTTTTTGTTTTCGGGAGTACTACCTGCTGGGAAATCTTAGCCCACAATAAGATTTTATAGATTATGAATTAAGCCTGGCATTCTACTCCATATACAGGACTTATTCACAGAGATTTCTGTTTTGTTTTGTTTTGTTTTGTTTTAAAGTCCAAGTTGACACATAATTACATCAAATAACACAAGCTCCTATGATGTATTATCTTCCAAACTTTTTTGAGGATTAATAAGGCCTTTTATATCCAGTTATTGACCTATTCTCTTTAAGTGAATGTGTAGATAACTGCAGGAATAAAGCAAAATTCCATATTTTGAACCTTGATGACTAATTATTTTAGCAGTCTGTCCAGACCCTATGACTGGACATTGCTCCCTTGGTGTATCTCACACTGCAGGACTTAGCAAAGCACCTAGCTGATAGCTGCCCACTGCAAACAACAGTCCTATCCTGCCATGCCCGGGACTTCATTAACCAGCCCTGATTTCCCCCACCCTCTTCCCATCTCAGGTACCAGAAGCAAAATCCCCCCCCACACACACACACATCCTTGTTTTCTTTCGAACCCAAAGAAGGAGCCATGTTTTCATGAAAATCTCCCTGGCCACAGAAAATCATGACATCTTCCTATCCCAGACACATTCAACAGTTCAAAAACAGAAATTAACCTGCCTCTCTGCACACTTGTCCCTTCTAGGTTGTTCAGCTATAAAATAAAGAGCAGTAACAGGACACAGTATGAGAATATAGTATTGTCTCAGTGGCATGGAAGCCAGGTTCTCTGGGCAGTGCACTCCGAAAGTAACTCTATCGACTGCCTATCTATGACTCTGGCCTGTTTATTTGGGAAAAACTGAAGTGTTCAATTGTTTTTTAATTGAATAAGGTAGTTCTGGATTTCATTTGTTGTTCTCAGAAAAAAGTTTTCACAAGAAATTCTTACATTAAAACAATATATTTCTGTTATATATTTTTAACTTCATTTATTCATCCATTAAAATACATTAATTCATGACAAATTAAGAAGTTGATACCGTTTCACTTTAAGGGCCTCTGAGATGATTATTGCAGAACCATAAAATTTAATCTATAGATCCAAAATTTGATTAAAAATTAAAAACTCAAAATGGAACCAGAAGCACCTCCTAATTTTTAACCTCAATGTTATTTCCTACAAGTATAATGATTTTTTTTAAAAGAATACGTAAGTTACTATCAGACTCTTGTCTAATTACTTAGTTTGTGGAAGCTGTGCCTTGGGCTAAATTTGTTGTGATTTGTGTTTGATGCGAAAGTCAAAACATAGAGAGGAAGTTTAAGCTTTTTTTTTTTAACCTCAATATAATTCTTATACAAAAATGAAAAGTAAATAGAAACTGTCTAATTAAACTTTAAAAACTAAATGCTATGGGCTAAGCTTTTATGTGATATTTTAAAAACTAGCATTCATTAAAACTGGCAGAAATACACTGTTTTAATATGAACTGGTAACTTCTGTTTCCTGAGCAAACAAAATACTGATAATTACAATGGAAAAAAATGACTCTAATACAGATCTATTTTTAAATGACTATGAGTGACATTTTGAAAATAAAAGGCAACTAATGTTCATACATTTGAATGAGCACTGAGAGATCATGTTTTTCAGTTCAAGATTGTGTCTCAAATCAAATTCAAACTGAAGAGTCTGAATCACATCTAACAGCTGCTTCTTCTCATTAGGACAACACTTAACAGCAGTGGCAAGGATGGGGGAGTGCACAGGAGGAGAGGAGACTAGATAATGGGAGGAGCATCGAATTGGAAGGAACATATGCAGTTGGAATTATATTATTATCATTATTATTGTTAGAGTCAAGGTCTTACTCTGTCACCCAGGCTGGAGGGTAGCACCATGATAATGGCACCCTGCAGCCTTGACTTCCTAGGCTCAGAATATCCTTCCCTTTCAGCCTCCCAGGTAGCTGGGACTACAGTCTCAGCTAATTTTTTAAAAAAATTTTTAAGAGAAAGGATCTCACTATGTTGCTAGACTGGTCTCCAGCTCCTGGGGCTCA